ACTGTAATTACAAACCTTGGATGAGTCTGAATGTTGTTTTCCATGTTTCCCAGACCAAGCTGTCCTTTTGTGTTATCCCCCCAAGCCAAGATAAGTCCATTGTCTGTGACAGCCAAAGTGTGCATCTGTCCACAGGCCACTTGCTTTATAGTACGTGTTTCAAGTGCATCAACACGAGCTGTGAAATAATCATTAGACAGAGCTTCACATTAAATACCTAAATCCCACATGAAAGCCCCCCTATCATATGGAGTGGGGTGGCCTCATGGTTAGTGCGCTCATCAAAGGAATGAGTGGTCTGGGTTTGAGTCCTGGCCAGGGACACTGTGTTGTGTTCTTGGGCAAGACACTTAACTCTCACAGTGCCTCTCTCCACCCAGGAGTATAAATGGGTACTGGTGAATTGTTGGGGAAACCTAACAAATTGCGGGGGAGTGACCCACGATGGACTAGCATCCCGTTCTGGGGGAGTAGAAATACTCCTAGCTTCTTCATGCTACGGAAACTGGGATAAGTTCCGGCAGCTATCAACCAGTCAGCTCCAAGGCTTTACTTTACTTCAGGTAATATGTCAAACCAAATTCTTCAGAAATCAGGCTTACTTCAAAACAAACCGAGGTATGAGGTCTACAGAAAATGACTGACAATAACCATAATGCCTGATCACAATATACTTTTTGAAAAGTAGAGGTCTTGGAAGTACACTTGTCCCCACTAATTGGGACAAAAACTGTTGACTCAGCATATGGATGTACATGCACCAATGTACATGTACCGATGTACATGACGAGCAGAATTTGGCCAAAGTTCAAATAACATTTCGTTATATAACAAATTGCAGTGTTAATTGTAAAATATTTTATCATGTTATCACCTTTAACACTATTACTATAACAAAATCGCGTGCACTATGCCGCAAAAGTAACCTCGGCTAATCAAAATGACAGCTGAGATAAACAATTAAGCTATTAATAGAGATGTAAACATCAACAGATGGAAAAGAGACGATAACTCACCGAGTTTTCTTCCATCCTTATGGTGCCCGAGCTGTCCATTCTCGTTACTCCCACATGTATAAACAACACCATCCTGTTTCAAGACCGCCGAGTGTTCCCAGCCACACACAATGTCTTTAATTTCCGACACAGTTCCGTAAGTGTTCTCAACAATTCTCGGACACAAAACTGGTTCGTCTTCAATAATTTCCCCCAGGCCGAGTTGGCCTTCAGAACTTTTACCCCAGCAGAACATAACTAAGCCATGTTTATAAACCTTGTTCTTTCATCGGCTCCTGACTGCCACATCAGTCTGCTTAGGACAATAAAAACAGAAACGAAACCACTTTCATCGTTCCGCCATCTTTTCCTCCTCCTATAGTAGTTTCCAGTTTCCGGTCTGGTTAGCGCAAAGTTACTGATCACGTGATTTATTATTTTCTCGCACCCGTGCCCCAAACAGAAAGCAATGCAGTGATGGGCGCAACATTTTTGCACGAAAGAAAACAAGTAAAAATCCCCATTTTAGGACACTCCTTGGCTCCTACCGTAGAAACCAGTGGGTGATTGCTGGCCATTTAAAATGCAGACGATGTTTCCGCAGTGAGTTAGTCCTTCGTCAGAACAAAACTGACCCTGAAGAAATCCTATAAACGCTCGAAAATGTCAGCCGTCTGTGAAGGCATGGCAACCATCACTAAATGTGACCTTTGTATTTTTTCTTTATTTACTACAATAAATTGTTATATTTTATGCAATGGTAAGACAAAACTAATGTCACATGTTGTTAGTGAGATGATTATTTATTAGAAAACATTTGCGGGCATAGAGAACGGTATATCTTTGTGGATAACCTGACTGTAGGACAATGGGTGTACAGGGGATAGAGTCTTCTAAAAATGGTGTCAGACGGAAACTTTTTATCGCTTACTTAACATGTTCTTAGAAATTTAAGGAGCAAAGGATCACGATTAAAATCAAGTAGCAAAGTTTATAAAAGGATTTGCGTTCGATGAAACTTTGAAAACTATCTTCATTTCATTCTTGAAATCTTTTTAAGCATAAGAAGGTCTAAGAAGTGGTTTCCTGCACAAGTTACTACTCATAAACGACACTCAAATAACGCCCGCCTTAAACATTTTTATCAGCTTATTGAGGTGCTCTAAAAAAAGAGAGCCCTTTATTGATCTAAAAAGACGCGGGGGAGGAGTAAAAGCCTCGGGTTCCGCTTACGTGGAAGGGAGACAGCAATATTATCTCTGTTTGCCCTCCAAGGTTTGCATAAACTATTGTTGTGAAATGCTCTTGGAAATACGCAGACCTTCCGAGAGCATTTTAAAATAATGGTTTATGGAAAAGTCTGGCAGCCGCTGCCAGACAGCGGCTGGTTCCCCATAATTCACTCTGTTTGCTGCAAACAGAGTGAATTATGGGGAATTAGAAAATAGATAACTGCTTTTATTTATATGGGAGGTGGTGATGGAGGGGGACCAGATCGGGTCCTGCCCTAGTTCTATCACCTTAGCACAACAGCGTGTGCAGAATCGTTCAGCCGCGGTTAGGGCGCGTTTTGGCGATTGTGACCATGAGGGTTTGCATCCTTTGACGAATCACTGTTTGCTTGACGTTTACTGTCCATTTTCACCTTTTCAGTTTCCTCGGCATCCCTCTGAGCGTGTTCCGATCCTAAGGAAGACAAAACAAGAGATCAGTCGTGTTTGTATGACGTCACCTTCAAGGACACGCGAGCAACACGCGTTCGTGTTCAGTCATAAAAACAAGCGACCGCATGGCTCGATTTGCCGCTGAACAACCACGACAGTTTTCCAATGTTCGGAGACACCACGAAAACTGGTAAGAGCTAAAGAAAAAAAAACACACCAACTTCTCCCAATGCAAATAAAAATACTATAGCCTCTCTCTCTAATTATCATTTATTTGTAGGCAAAATGAAAACTTCTGGTATTACTGTCACGTAAAAAAAAAACACTTCGATTCAATGGCACGAAGTAGCACGCTATTTAAACATGCGATGCGAAATTCTGTCAAAGAAACAAGGAAGTAAAAACTGAAAACGAAACAGCTTCCAGAGGGGAAAAATACCAGCGAGGAGGGTTGTCATGGGAGACAATAAACACTTCACTGTGTGAAACACTTCGATAAAATATAAAATAATATTTACCTGTAACTGCTCTGTTTTGGCCCTGGAAGTAAGAAAAGAACATAAAAGATTAGAATTGATAAATGTAACCAGCCGTCTTACATGTTAGCATTCAAACGTACATAAAGCGGTAAAAATCAATTAGAGCTACTTTTCCCCAATTGAATTTTTCAGACAATGTCTCTCAGACAGTGTCAGTCTATATTTTTCCACTTCCCCTGTACGTGTTGACAGTCACGTTCCAGGTGTTTTTATGCCTGTCTTTGCATAAAATCCCGGAAAGCGATCGAACACTACTACCATAGTCTCTAAAATATAAATTGAGGGTCACAGAGTATTTATGAACGTTCTTCAAGCCTGTAGTTATATCCTGTTTACAACTGGAAGGCGGCAGCGAAAAAAACTAATTTAGTAAATGGTATTTTAGCACTATGACCTCACACCACTAATTGAAAATAAGCCAAAGAGTCCAATTTACAATGACTCCGTTAATTGAAAGAGCTACAGACAGACAAGCTCGTAAAATATAGAGACATGTGTTATGATTATGGCTCACGCGCTAGCTTTCAACATAAAATGAGTAGCGACCCGTAGCTTCAACTTTTAATCAGGGATTGTTTTAAGTCGGTGAAACAAATCATTTGCATTAAAACCGCCCAATACAGCGCCTTCTTTCCCACGGCAAATTCACAGTCGACTGCTATTTAAGGGCAACCGAAAACAACAACCCTAAAGGAGCCTTTGCACTCCATGGACCTCCCCAAAACGTGAAAACATACTTTGCTTTCAGTCTCATTTTTTTTGTGTGCGGCAATTTCACAAGCGTTTGCTATTTATAAACAAGGGCAAGAGAACACAACAACCCCAAAACAGCCTTTGTGTTCCATGGACCGCCCCAAAACGTGCTAACATACTTTCCATTGACTCAATTTGTTTTCACAGTTGCCGGGTTAAGTTGATTCGTGTGAAAATGCACACTCGTGGACTAAACTCGTCTCCAACTCTAATCAGACATTGAAAGCTTAATTTTCAAGCCAATGCATCATCGTATTGAAAAATAAACATCCAACAGCTCTCTAGGACTCGAATATGACCAACGCCTAGTTCTTCCTTAATCCTTCAATCCAAAGAGCTCATGGGAAAAGACATGCATTACCAACAAGAATCACTTACAGTTTTTTCCTCTCCTATGCCTTTGGTATCTTCTAGGCGTCTTCGAAGGGCTTCCTGAAACATAGAATTTGCAATATTACTAATTTTATACTCAATTATAGAAATTAGTATTAATCTTCACCCAAGAGAAAGTCATATTACAGAATATCTAAGCATTCCATGAACGCCATAAGCCATTGTTTGTTGCCATGTTACATAAAGAACCATATAATTTTATCGCTTGTTTCGCTTTCTGTTCCGCAAACTTCGAGATACCAGAACGTTTATTCACAGTTCGTAAATAGTCGGGTTGTATTAATATGTTTTTACATTTAACTGAGGTCAGTATAAATAAGTAAATATATAGTTTTACGTTGCCAATATAATTTTTAAGTCGAGATTGAGAGAGACGTAATATGAATATAAATCATATATTGAAACAATGACATGCCAGTAAGTTAAAAAGAAATCATTTATATTCATTTTCCGGTTTTCGTCCTTTCACTCGACTCGCAAATTATGCTGCGACATGCACACGTTGCAAATTTTACGTTGTGATTTATATGCTAACCATATTGTTGTGCAAGGCACAAGTAGTGTAGATTAATTTGACCTTTCGTTATGTTAACAGACAACACATGATAAACATGTCTGAGCTCACACGGACACGTGAAGAGAAGTTGGGAGACCTGTGGGTGAACCACATGAAAAACTTCTAGACTACAAAGCAACTGTGATGTTGTATTCGTTATCGAAACAACGGCGCCAAAACCCATACGACCTTAGCACAAGAATAAGAGATAAAAAATATTTCATCAACTACGAAGAAGTGTGAAAATTCAAGTACACTTGTATTATAACAACAAGTTATCTTGCATTCAACAAACTCGTCAGTGGGGTCACGGAAAACAAAACACTGGGGAAAGAAACTATAAAGCAAATTACGATTAAAACTCTACTAAACTCGCTATAAACTCCACTTGTCATAAAAGGAATCGAGATATTTTTGCTAACTGCCTCGGTACGCCTTCCTCAGCGCAAGATTATTGTAACACAAGGCTCCGGAAAAGCAAACAAATATAAAAGTTACTCCATGAGCCAAAAATAAACAGTTTTTAATCAAAGTTTTAGCGAAAGCTCGCGAAGCTTCTTTAGCACGCAAGTTATGAGATAGCCAAAGCAAATTATACGAATGCTAAATGATGAAAGTCGTGTGTTCCTCCACACTTTCACTTTTACAGTCATACCTAGGTCAAATCTTCCGTTTTGTGCACGAAATTTCAATGTACTACCATTCAAATGAAAGCTACTGAGCAGCTCTTTCATGTTGTGTTATTTGTTTTTCAAAATTTTTCAAATTGAAGTGAGATTTCTTTCCCGTCTTCCTTTTTAGCTCGAGACCTACTGGGCGCGGAAAGCGTTGACTTCGCTCGGTCGATAACGGTACTTCCTAAAGCGGCTATAACATCACAAAAATAAAACAAAACGTTACAAAAGAGTCCACACTACCTTTCGAAGATTCTTAACCCTACATCCCACCAAACAAACGGTAAACATTACGTGTGGAGGCATCACTGCGAAGTGCTAAGTCGACAAACGCGTGATATCTTTCTAAACACGACACTGTGATCGCGAAGGGAAGTTGATTGTGAAATTACAGTGACGCGCAAAACACTTATATATGGAACATGACGAGAAGCCATTGAACCGTAACCCTATATCGGCCACGCATCGCTTGAAAAAAAAAGAAGAATAAAAACCCCCCAGGCAAATTGTTGTTTGTCTACATACCTGTCTCTCTTTTTCTTCTCTCTCCCACCTTTCGCTTTCCTTTCTAGCCTCTTCCTCCTGGTTAGAGAAAAAAAACACCGGAAAAAGAAAATCAAAAACCTCCAGGCTTTTTTACTATGGGAGGAAACTAAAACAAAGCAAGGGAACAAAGTAATGCGCGGCAAACATATTCGGCCGTAAATACAATTGTACAGTTTTTCAGATTGGCAATTAAACGCAATTTCCACTTGAAACTGTCGAGAAAGTTAGCAAATGTTGAAATAGAAAATTGCTTCTACATTAACATTAATAGTCATTTAAGCCACAACGGGAACTTAAAAATAAATCATAGCAAAATGAACCCAATTCAAACACTGCGGGAATTAAAAAGTACCATTTTGCTCTTCACGTATTGTCGAAGAATAGCCATAATATCGATTTTGGCCATGTTGGTGAAGACAACAACAGCAGGTTCGGTCGAGTTGAAGCCGACAAAATCTATGCTAAATTCGCTCTCTAGTTGCTAATGTTGTGGTAAGGTCAGGGCACACCGCCGACACATGACTTGAGAGCTAACCAATTGTTATCTCTTTTCAAACAAAAGAACACATTTGACGCGTACAAAACACGTCACAGAAAATTATATTATTACAGTGAAGTCCCGGCTGATTTCCTCCAACGCGGGAAAAAGAACAAAAGACAAATTTCTACCGACATATCAAGTTAATGAATGAAATGACAAGATGTCGAGAAATTCAATAGATGTTGGGCCTCACACAATAGCATTTCGAGAAAAACATTCTTAAGCCCCGTTCACACCACGCCGGACAAATTGAAAAACCAAATGTTGTAGGTCAACCTGTGATACAGCGAATGGATATTTCGATAATGAGTTAATTCTCAAGGAAAATCAAGCTTTATGTACAAGGAATTACGGGTTAACGAAGCGACAACTCCCGGAAAAGCTGCTATTTTTGAAAACGTTCACGTAGAAGGTAACTCCAATACGTAATATTACGCAAAACGCTTGAAAATTGATGTAAAACGTGGGATGAAAGGACTTCAATATTCTTGAAGACCCTCGGAAACCTACAGTACGTAGTTACATCACTTGAAACAAAGTGTAATTTCTTCCGAAGGTCTAGTCGCACTAGTTAAGATATCTCCAACAAGGATATTATCTAAGCACAGGCCGTTATTTTTTATTAAAAGACTACTTAGAAGGATATTAAGAGCAATTTATTGTACCGTACGACAAACATGTAGTAAGTAAACATTTTTAAACGAACGCAATTATCAAGTCATTGCCATGTGTCGAGCGTTCAAACTAGCCGTTGTGTAGTGTTTACTTGAGCTTAAATGTCTCCATCGTTAAACGTATTTATGTACTTAGCACAGAAATAAGCATTCCTTATTTAATATGAGGTTGTTACATTAGTTAATTACACTCTTTTTTATAAGAATATTGTTTTTCCGGCCGAGGCTGAATATTCTTATTTTTCTGTCTATTTTAGGTTGAATATATCCTTGTGAATATTCTTAGATTAGAGCGTAGGGCATTTCTGTTTTCAAATGTATTAGGGTCAGTTAAAGACCTATAATTGTATTGTATTTCCAAATTTTAGACACACAAAATTATATTCTTTCCAAAATCTCAGCCTCGGGTTTAGTCTTAAACTATTCTTAAACTTTCGCAAATTTCAGCGTCGATATTCTTATAAAATATACTCTTAAAGCCAGGCAATTCGCTTTACTTAACCGAGTTTAAGGTAAAATGCGGCGCTGAATCCGCAAAATGACTGTCGTTTTTTTTTTTTTTTCGAAAGCGAGACTACAAAGGAAAGATATACCTCAATTTGTTCAAGAAAAGTAAAATATGGTCGCAAATGTTCCACCTGGCTTAAAACACACTGTTTCCGCGAGGCGCCTGAGAATAACAGCAAACGTTATACAAAAAAAATTACTAAATTATGCAGTTCGAACGAGTTAATTTTAGCACAAGAGCAAAACACCTTTTCCCAACAAAAGAAGTCAATTTTTCCCACAAGTTCTAAATTTACTTGCCGAAAGGACCTCAGCAGGTACCATTATACAGATGGAAAAAACTCTTTTTCGACATAAAAACGCGACGGATTCAATCGCTTTTTAAATTCCCAGCGGTAGTTTTCTTGTTAACTTTTTAAAACAAAGATTTTGCTTCCATGGCTAAACAGAATACAACAACGACACTTAACGCTAAGTATATAAAGGACGAAAACAAAACCACCCGTCCCTTCCCTAGAGAGTTTGGTTTCGTTGTGTTGATACAACTGGATCAAATTCAACTGCCTTTTTCACAAGTCTGTATTGACTTAGAAACGGATCTTTCTTCGCTTTTTCAACGATTGAATTTTCCTCGAATTTTTAAAATGTCTTGTCTACAGGATTAGCGCTTTGCCAAAAGAGACGGTTTTCAATGGAATTTTAAGAATCTGCCTTTTCAAGTGAGTTTATCAGTAATCCTGTCGAATGAAGATTACTAAGAACAATAATATAGGGACTTAAAGAACATTCTTTCTTTCCAGGAATAAAAATGCGCTTGGCAAGAGCGAAAGCGAAACAGAGATAAACCATGTTTACTCAGCTTTAGTGAGAACTCATTTCCATAACGCTCTGAAAGCAAAAACATACCGTTTTTGCTTCTTTCACTAGAATAATTATATTTCAAGGAGACTAAAGCAATTACTGGCAGTGAATCAAGCGCAAATTCTAGTTCAACACAATCTAAACAGCACGGATAACCGTAGTTGGTGTGTTCATTCAAAAGCATAAGACGAAACACTGATAATGTTTCCGCAGAAATTCAAACATATAAAGATGGCTTACCGGTACTTTATCCTTTAGGTAAAACGATGTCATTTATGCCAGCGATGTTAAATTTTCTAAATGGTACTCGCCCTTCGCCAGACTTTGGTGAAAAACCTTGACACCACGCCAACAGACACGCGGCCTTTGTATGTCATGTCTGAAGCGCATGTGTTGACATGACGTGACATGAACGTCACGCCAGCAAACGTGGGTGGCACATGTCACGCATTCTCAGTTAATTTGACATTTTCGCGACCAGAATTAGAAACGAATTCACTTTCGAAGGAAGAAATTATCAACGAAACAGGCTTTTGCAATTTATTACCTTGCTCACTCTAGGTCGACCGGCCGTAAGTGAAGGCACGTTTCCCAATTACTGCGCTTTTCCTCAGAAATGAGCGAATAAAAACAAGAAATGTCTTCTACCCACCTGTCTCTTGATTTCTTTTCTGATGTCTTCGTAGGCTCTTTCGTTAACCGGTATGTCACGCTCCAAAGACTCCTGACTCTGTGATTTTGAGGTGTTTATCGTCGCCACGGGACTAGCCTGCCAGGCCGCGTGTTGTCCCGCGGGCACGTCAGCGGGGTCGAACCCGTCGCACACCAGCAGCGATAAATTGTCTCCAATCCCTCTCAGCGAGCGCACGGCTTCCAGATGCGTGGCGCCAAGGAGACTGGTGCCATTGACCTAACAAGGTACAAAAACGTGTATTAGCCTTCTTGCAAGTCTCGCTGTATCGGATAACATTCTTCAATACTTATGCCAGAAATCAACACTTTCACTGCTAAGCTCGAAAAATAAATTCTCCTTATTAGTTGCCGTAATTCCACTTAAATTTCATTTTGAGAATTTGCTGCTTCATCAAGACAATATTCTCTGCTTGATCATCTTCGTAAATATTCTCTATACNGGGGGGGGGGGGGGGGGGGGGGGGGAAGGAAGGGGGCGGTTTTCTTTCGCTTGCCCCACCGGCTTTTCTTCCTTCTGTGAGTTCTTCTTTTTTAACCCAAAATAAGGGAGGCCCGGGGCCCCTCGCCTAGATCCGCCACTACAGGGGGCGCCGTTGGAACCACCAGGCCACAGGAGGAACTAAACTCAACTTTTTGTTCGGGAAAATAGCACATCAGGGCTAACAGATCTGCGCCCGACAGAACGGGAAGAGGGGATGGGGGGGAAAGGGAGAATCTGTCGCTTGTGTCGGGGAGACCCCACAAAACGTGTCTCTAAACAGGACTATTTAGGTGTACGACAGAGAGCAATTGACTCAGCAATAAGACAGTGTTAAATCGTCTGTATTATTTATAAAACTCTGGTAGCGCCTTTTTACTTACAGACAGTACATCGATTAATTATAACAGTCAACATCGTGTCCAGGCACTTCTCGGCTTCAAATTCAACAAGGGCCTGGAAACGGGGTTACTTAACCCTGATTAGAAATATCACTAACATACAAGGAGCTGATAAAAAGTTACATCTCACTCTTGTATCAAGCGGGTTTTATGACAGTACCTTAACCTTCATAAGCCCAAATAATAATCAAAACGTAATTTAACTCGATCATGTCAGGAAATTTTCTTGACATATCTTCAATTAAATTCTCCTTCGTAGAACTAGGATAAGCGTATGAGTGCCATTTAAGGAGAATTTGAAAATTGAATCAGGGCTTTAGGGTTAAGTTATTTCTGTACAAGAAGACAAAATACCTATCTACATCGATCTACGATTTAATGATAAGTTAAATTTTGATTTTCTAAAGAAATAATAAGTCAGAAATCGCAGTTCCAAGATTTCTGTAAGTAATCAAATAAATTTCTTTAATAACGGTTTAAAATAATGAAAGCTTTGGATATGTCACGAAATCCATCTTGGATGGTCACGCAATGCCGTCGCGCAATGCCTTCGAGGATCATTGCGTGACCAGCCTTTGTATAGTACTGCAGGAATAGCACGCTTTCTATCGGACGAGACGCCTTTTCTTAGAAATGACCCTGTAACAAGAGCAAGACAGAAATAAATAACAAGGCAGCATTACTATCACAATATCACTAAAAACTTGGTGTCTTCTCTTCAACAGTTTTCACTCGGTCATGTTTTACTATGCGGAGTTAAGTCAACAAGATCACGGATAATAGATACATCACGTCCGTAGAAATTGTGCTCAACATTTTAAGGTGGCACTGTCAGCTCGCCATCCTCTACTGCTAATGACAAATGTTATTTGTGGAGTACTGCGCGACAAAATGAAAGGTCTCATGCTACAAGGAGATGACAGTGTCTCTTCACAAGGAAAGAAAACAAGATCTGGTACAATAAAGAACTAAGAAACCCTGTCAGCTTGGTTTTAACACTCATCTCCTTTAAAAAGTAAAAATATATTCGATTAACAACATCACTAATGGATTTGGAATCGAAAGTTTAAGCTAAAAATCTAACGTTAAAAATGTATGCAACGGACTTAACTAGTTAAAATTAAAATAATAAATTTCTTTTCAGGCATAGCACTCGGCGACCACGTTCCTTTTTTTCTGAAAACTTTATCTACGTTTAATAATGATTTACAGATAAAATAAAATGAAATTACAACAATCCCAATATTTAATAATCTTAATAACTCATAAGAACTCGCCCTTATTAAAAACCTAAAAACTTATTTAACTCTAAAAAAAATCAGCAATTATTTGGTTGCTGTTCTTTTTGTGCTGGAAACGAAAAAAATCCTGGAGAAATTTACAATCAGCAGCTTCTTTTCAATTTGAAAAGACACATTTTCAAACTCAGGAGAAAAAGGACAATTAAAAACGAATCCAAATGCATCGGTGCCATTCGTTTAAAACTGTCAATACTTAAAAACAACAAAAAAAAAGTTACGAATTCACAGGAATAAAATATTCAAATTCGAGAGTCTTCAAATGTCCCACTAACATATCATTCTGGCTTGTAACGGACAGAAAGCAGAACTGTCCCCAGACTCCTCGCACCTTTTCGGCCGGCTAGTCCCCAGTCTACTCTCCATCACGCTCTTCCTTGATCCATTTTATACTCGCATAACAATTCTCTATTACAAATCGATAGCCACGTTACGTTGATTTTGTCGAAGAACCACTAGATCTTCGTCCCGGCCCCCCCGCGGAGCTGCCGTCGTGAAGTTCATTATCGGAAGCGCTGGATTTTCTGTCGCCATCTGGGGAATTGATCGCAAGTGCCTCGAGCGACGTGGCTGACATTGCCTTGACTTGCGCAATGACCACTTGCGCCTTCATGGCGTCTTCTTCGAGTTCACGCATGCGCTGTTGTCTCAAGGCCGCGCGCTTCTCTGCCTCGAGGGCGCGTCGTTCAGCCGCGGTTAGGGCGCGTTTTGGTGATTGTGGCGATGACGGTTTTGTATCCTTTGATGAATCACTGTTTGCTTGACGTTTACTGTCCATTTTCACCTTTTCAGCTTCCTCGGCATCTCTCTGGGCGTGTTCCGATCCTAAGGAAGACAAAACAAGAGATCAGTCGTGTTTGTATGGCGTCACCTTCAAGGACACGCGTGTAACACGCGTTCGTGTTCAGTCATAAAAACACGCGACCGCATGGCTCGATTTACCGCTGAACTGCCAAGCCAGGTTTCCAAAGTTCGGGGACACCATGAAGGCTAATGAAAACACCGACTTTTCACAATGTATATAAAGACACTATAGCCTTTCACTAATCATTATTTGTACACGAAATTAAAACTACTGGTATTGTTGTCACGAGAAAAAAAAAACAGTTTAAATTCAATGGTACGGGATAACACGCTATTCCCACGCGCCATGCGAAATCCTAGCTAAGAAACAAATAACTAACAACTGAAAACGAAAAACTATCTTCCAAAGGGGAAAAATACCAGCGAGAGGGGTCGTCAAGGGAGACAATAAATACTGCCATGTATGAAACACTTTGATAAAAAAAATAATATATTTACCTGTAACTGCTCTGTTTTGTCCCTGAAAATAAGACAAGAACATGAAAGATTAGAATAGATAAATGTAAACAGCCACCTTAACCTTTCAAACCTACATAACAAAGGTAAAAATCACTACAGAACTATTNTGGCGTCACCTTCAAGGACACGCGTGTAACACGCGTTCGTGTTCAGTCATAAAAACACGCGACCGCATGGCTCGATTTACCGCTGAACTGCCAAGCCAGTTTTCCAAAGTTCGGGGACACCATGAAAGCTAAAGAAAACACCGACTTTTCACAATGTATATACAAACACCATAGCCTCTCACTAATCATTATTTGTTGTCACGAGAAAAAGAACAGTTTAATTCAATGGTACGGGATAACACGCTATTCCCACGCGCCATGCGAAATTCTAGCTAAGAAACAAATAACTAACAACTGAAAACGAAAAACTCTCTTCCAAAGGGGAAAAATACCAGCGAGAGGGGTCGCCAAGGGAGACAATAAATACTTCCATGTATGAAACACTGATAAAAAAAATAATGTTTACCTGTAACTGCTCTGTTTTGTCCCTGAAAATAAGACAAGAACATGAAAGATTAGAATGGATAAATGTAAACAGCCACCTTAACCTTTCAAACCTACATAACAAAGGTAAAAATCACTACAGAACTATTTTTCCCCAATGGAATTTTTAAAATTTCCCTTAGACAATGCCAGTCTATATTTTTCCACTTCTCCTGTACGTGAGAAGAGTCACGTATGAGGTGTTTTTTTTTTTTACTTGTCGTTGTGTAAAAAACCGGAAAGCGATCGAACACTCCTAACATGAAGCCATAGTCTCTAAATTGAATGACAACAGAATATTTATAAACATGGTTCAAGCCTGAAGTTATATCCTGTTTACAGCTGGAAGGCCGCTGCGAAAAAAAACTAATTTAGTAAATGGTATTTTCGCACCATAACCTCACACCACTAATTGAAAATCAACCAAATTGTCCAATCTTCAATGATTGCGTTAATTGAAAGAGCTACAAACAGACAAGCTTGTAAAATATACAGATATGTGTTATGATTATGGCTCACGCGCTAGCTTTCAACATAAAATGAGTAGCGACCCGTAGCTTCAACTTTTAATCAGGGATTGTTTTAAGTCGTTGAAACAAATCATTTGCATTAAAACCGCCCAATACAGCGCCTTCTTTCCCACGGCAAATTCACAGTCGACTGCTATTTAAGGGCAACCGAAAACAACAACCCTAAAGGAGCCTTTGCACTCCATGGACCTCCCCAAAACGTGAAAACATACTTTGCTTTCAGTCTCATTTTTTTTGTGTGCGGCAATTTCACAAGCGTTTGCTATTTATAAACAAGGGCAAGAGAACACAACAACCCCAAAACAGCCTTTGTGTTCCATGGACCGCCCCAAAACGTGCTAACATACTTTCCATTGACTCAATTTGTTTTCACAGTTGCCGGGTTAAGTTGATTCGTGTGAAAATGCACACTCGTGGACTAAACTCGTCTCCAACTCTAATCAGACATTGAAAGCTTAATTTTCAAGCCAATGCATCATCGTATTGAAAAATAAACATCCAACAGCTCTCTAGGACTCGAATATGACCAACGCCTAGTTCTTCCTTAATCCTTCAATCCAAAGAGCTCATGGGAAAAGACATGCATTACCAACAAGAATCACTTACAGTTTTTTCCTCTCCTATGCCTTTGGTATCTTCTAGGCGTCTTCGAAGGGCTTCCTGAAACATAGAATTTGCAATATTACTAATTTTATACTCAATTATAGAAATTAGTATTAATCTTCACCCAAGAGAAAGTCATATTACAGAATATCTAAGCATTCCATGAACGCCATAAGCCATTGTTTGTTGCCATGTTACATAAAGAACCATATAATTTTATCGCTTGTTTCGCTTTCTGTTCCGCAAACTTCGAGATACCAGAACGTTTATTCACAGTTCGTAAATAGTCGGGTTGTATTAATATGTTTTTACATTTAACTGAGGTCAGTATAAATAAGTAAATATATAGTTTTACGTTGCCAATATAATTTTTAAGTCGAGATTGAGAGAGACGTAATATGAATATAAATCATATATTGAAACAATGACATGCCAGTAAGTTAAAAAGAAATCATTTATATTCATTTTCCGGTTTTCGTCCTTTCACTCGACTCGCAAATTATGCTGCGACATGCACACGTTGCAAATTTTACGTTGTGATTTATATGCTAACCATATTGTTGTGCAAGGCACAAGTAGTGTAGATTAATTTGACCTTTCGTTATGTTAACAGACAACACATGATAAACATGTCTGAGCTCACACGGACACGTGAAGAGAAGTTGGGAGACCTGTGGGTGAACCACATGAAAAACTTCTAGACTACAAAGCAACTGTGATGTTGTATTCGTTATCGAAACAACGGCGCCAAAACCCATACGACCTTAGCACAAGAATAAGAGATAAAAAATATTTCATCAACTACGAAGAAGTGTGAAAATTCAAGTACACTTGTATTATAACAACAAGTTATCTTGCATTCAACAAACTCGTCAGTGGGGTCACGGAAAACAAAACACTGGGGAAAGAAACTATAAAGCAAATTACGATTAAAACTCTACTAAACTCGCTATAAACTCCACTTGTCATAAAAGGAATCGAGATATTTTTGCTAACTGCCTCGGTACGCCTTCCTCAGCGCAAGATTATTGTAACACAAGGCTCCGGAAAAGCAAACAAATATAAAAGTTACTCCATGAGCCAAAAATAAACAGTTTTTAATCAAAGTTTTAGCGAAAGCTCGCGAAGCTTCTTTAGCACGCAAGTTATGAGATAGCCAAAGCAAATTATACGAATGCTAAATGATGAAAGTCGTGTGTTCCTCCACACTTTCACTTTTACAGTCATACCTAGGTCAAATCTTCCGTTTTGTGCACGAAATTTCAATGTACTACCATTCAAATGAAAGCTACTGAGCAGCTCTTTCATGTTGTGTTATTTGTTTTTCAAAATTTTTCAAATTGAAGTGAGATTTCTTTCCCGTCTTCCTTTTTAGCTCGAGACCTACTGGGCGCGGAAAGCGTTGACTTCGCTCGGTCGATAACGGTACTTCCTAAAGCGGCTATAACATCACAAAAATAAAACAAAACGTTACAAAAGAGTCCACACTACCTTTCGAAGATTCTTAACCCTACATCCCACCAAACAAACGGTAAACATTACGTGTGGAGGCATCACTGCGAAGTGCTAAGTCGACAAACGCGTGATATCTTTCTAAACACGACACTGTGATCGCGAAGGGAAGTTGATTGTGAAATTACAGTGACGCGCAAAACACTTATATATGGAACATGACGAGAAGCCATTGAACCGTAACCCTATATCGGCCACGCATCGCTTGAAAAAAAAAGAAGAATAAAAACCCCCCAGGCAAATTGTTGTTTGTCTACATACCTGTCTCTCTTTTTCTTCTCTCTCCCACCTTTCGCTTTCCTTTCTAGCCTCTTCCTCCTGGTTAGAGAAAAAAAACACCGGAAAAAGAAAATCAAAAACCTCCAGGCTTTTTTACTATGGGAGGAAACTAAAACAAAGCAAGGGAACAAAGTAATGCGCGGCAAACATATTCGGCCGTAAATACAATTGTACAGTTTTTCAGATTGGCAATTAAACGCAATTTCCACTTGAAACTGTCGAGAAAGTTAGCAAATGTTGAAATAGAAAATTGCTTCTACATTAACATTAATAGTCATTTAAGCCACAACGGGAACTTAAAAATAAATCATAGCAAAATGAACCCAATTCAAACACTGCGGGAATTAAAAAGTACCATTTTGCTCTTCACGTATTGTCGAAGAATAGCCATAATATCGATTTTGGCCATGTTGGTGAAGACAACAACAGCAGGTTCGGTCGAGTTGAAGCCGACAAAATCTATGCTAAATTCGCTCTCTAGTTGCTAATGTTGTGGTAAGGTCAGGGCACACCGCCGACACATGACTTGAGAGCTAACCAATTGTTATCTCTTTTCAAACAAAAGAACACATTTGACGCGTACAAAACACGTCACAGAAAATTATATTATTACAGTGAAGTCCCGGCTGATTTCCTCCAACGCGGGAAAAAGAACAAAAGACAAATTTCTACCGACATATCAAGTTAATGAATGAAATGACAAGATGTCGAGAAATTCAATAGATGTTGGGCCTCACACAATAGCATTTCGAGAAAAACATTCTTAAGCCCCGTTCACACCACGCCGGACAAATTGAAAAACCAAATGTTGTAGGTCAACCTGTGATACAGCGAATGGATATTTCGATAATGAGTTAATTCTCAAGGAAAATCAAGCTTTATGTACAAGGAATTACGGGTTAACGAAGCGACAACTCCCGGAAAAGCTGCTATTTTTGAAAACGTTCACGTAGAAGGTAACTCCAATACGTAATATTACGCAAAACGCTTGAAAATTGATGTAAAACGTGGGATGAAAGGACTTCAATATTCTTGAAGACCCTCGGAAACCTACAGTACGTAGTTACATCACTTGAAACAAAGTGTAATTTCTTCCGAAGGTCTAGTCGCACTAGTTAAGATATCTCCAACAAGGATATTATCTAAGCACAGGCCGTTATTTTTTATTAAAAGACTACTTAGAAGGATATTAAGAGCAATTTATTGTACCGTACGACAAACATGTAGTAAGTAAACATTTTTAAACGAACGCAATTATCAAGTCATTGCCATGTGTCGAGCGTTCAAACTAGCCGTTGTGTAGTGTTTACTTGAGCTTAAATGTCTCCATCGTTAAACGTATTTATGTACTTAGCACAGAAATAAGCATTCCTTATTTAATATGAGGTTGTTACATTAGTTAATTACACTCTTTTTTATAAGAATATTGTTTTTCCGGCCGAGGCTGAATATTCTTATTTTTCTGTCTATTTTAGGTTGAATATATCCTTGTGAATATTCTTAGATTAGAGCGTAGGGCATTTCTGTTTTCAAATGTATTAGGGTCAGTTAAAGACCTATAATTGTATTGTATTTCCAAATTTTAGACACACAAAATTATATTCTTTCCAAAATCTCAGCCTCGGGTTTAGTCTTAAACTATTCTTAAACTTTCGCAAATTTCAGCGTCGATATTCTTATAAAATATACTCTTAAAGCCAGGCAATTCGCTTTACTTAACCGAGTTTAAGGTAAAATGCGGCGCTGAATCCGCAAAATGACTGTCGTTTTTTTTTTTTTTTCGAAAGCGAGACTACAAAGGAAAGATATACCTCAATTTGTTCAAGAAAAGTAAAATATGGTCGCAAATGTTCCACCTGGCTTAAAACACACTGTTTCCGCGAGGCGCCTGAGAATAACAGCAAACGTTATACAAAAAAAATTACTAAATTATGCAGTTCGAACGAGTTAATTTTAGCACAAGAGCAAAACACCTTTTCCCAACAAAAGAAGTCAATTTTTCCCACAAGTTCTAAATTTACTTGCCGAAAGGACCTCAGCAGNTTTACCTGTAACTGCTCTGTTTTGTCCCTGAAAATAAGACAAGAACATGAAAGATTAGAATAGATAAATGTAAACAGCCACCTTAACCTTTCAAACCTACATAACAAAGGTAAAAATCACTACAGAACTATTTTTCCCCGATGGAATTTTTCAATTTCCCTTAGACAATGCCAGCCTATATTTTTCCACTTCTCCTGTACGTGAGAAGAGTCACGTATGAGGTTTTTTTTTTTTTGGTTGTCGTTGTGTAAAAAACCGGAAAGCGATCGAACACTCCCAACATGAAGCCATAGTCTTTAAATTGAATGACAACAGAATATTTATAAACATGGTTCAAGCCTGAAGTTATATCCTGTTTACAGCTGGAAGGCCGCAGCGAAAAAAAACTAATTTAGTAAATGGTATTTTCGCACCATAACCTCACACCACTAATTGAAAATCAACCAAATTGTCCAATCTTCAATGATTGCGTTAATTGAAAGAGCTACAAACAGACAAGCTTGTAAAATATACAGATATGTGTTATGATTATGGCTCACGCGCTAGCTTTCAACATAAAATGAGTAGCGACCCGTAGCTTCATCTTTTAATCAGGGATTGTTTTAAGTCGTTGAAACAAATTCTTTGCATTAAAACCGCCCAAAACAGCGCCTTCTTTCCCACGGCAAATTCACAGTCGACTGCTATTTAAGGGCAACCGAAAACAACAACCCTAAAGGAGCCTTTGCACTCCATGGACCTCCCCAAAACGTGAAAACATACTTTGCTTTCAGTCTCATTTTTTTTGTGTGCGGCAATTTCACAAGCGTTTGCTATTTATAAACAAGGGCAAGAGAACACAACAACCCCAAAACAGCCTTTGTGTTCCATGGACCGCCCCAAAACGTGCTAACATACTTTCCATTGACTCAATTTGTTTTCACAGTTGCCGGGTTAAGTTGATTCGTGTGAAAATGCACACTCGTGGACTAAACTCGTCTCCAACTCTAATCAGACATTGAAAGCTTAATTTTCAAGCCAATGCATCATCGTATTGAAAAATAAACATCCAACAGCTCTCTAGGACTCGAATATGACCAACGCCTAGTTCTTCCTTAATCCTTCAATCCAAAGAGCTCATGGGAAAAGACATGCATTACCAACAAGAATCACTTACAGTTTTTTCCTCTCCTATGCCTTTGGTATCTTCTAGGCGTCTTCGAAGGGCTTCCTGAAACATAGAATTTGCAATATTACTAATTTTATACTCAATTATAGAAATTAGTATTAATCTTCACCCAAGAGAAAGTCATATTACAGAATATCTAAGCATTCCATGAACGCCATAAGCCATTGTTTGTTGCCATGTTACATAAAGAACCATATAATTTTATCGCTTGTTTCGCTTTCTGTTCCGCAAACTTCGAGATACCAGAACGTTTATTCACAGTTCGTAAATAGTCGGGTTGTATTAATATGTTTTTACATTTAACTGAGGTCAGTATAAATAAGTAAATATATAGTTTTACGTTGCCAATATAATTTTTAAGTCGAGATTGAGAGAGACGTAATATGAATATAAATCATATATTGAAACAATGACATGCCAGTAAGTTAAAAAGAAATCATTTATATTCATTTTCCGGTTTTCGTCCTTTCACTCGACTCGCAAATTATGCTGCGACATGCACACGTTGCAAATTTTACGTTGTGATTTATATGCTAACCATATTGTTGTGCAAGGCACAAGTAGTGTAGATTAATTTGACCTTTCGTTATGTTAACAGACAACACATGATAAACATGTCTGAGCTCACACGGACACGTGAAGAGAAGTTGGGAGACCTGTGGGTGAACCACATGAAAAACTTCTAGACTACAAAGCAACTGTGATGTTGTATTCGTTATCGAAACAACGGCGCCAAAACCCATACGACCTTAGCACAAGAATAAGAGATAAAAAATATTTCATCAACTACGAAGAAGTGTGAAAATTCAAGTACACTTGTATTATAACAACAAGTTATCTTGCATTCAACAAACTCGTCAGTGGGGTCACGGAAAACAAAACACTGGGGAAAGAAACTATAAAGCAAATTACGATTAAAACTCTACTAAACTCGCTATAAACTCCACTTGTCATAAAAGGAATCGAGATATTTTTGCTAACTGCCTCGGTACGCCTTCCTCAGCGCAAGATTATTGTAACACAAGGCTCCGGAAAAGCAAACAAATATAAAAGTTACTCCATGAGCCAAAAATAAACAGTTTTTAATCAAAGTTTTAGCGAAAGCTCGCGAAGCTTCTTTAGCACGCAAGTTATGAGATAGCCAAAGCAAATTATACGAATGCTAAATGATGAAAGTCGTGTGTTCCTCCACACTTTCACTTTTACAGTCATACCTAGGTCAAATCTTCCGTTTTGTGCACGAAATTTCAATGTACTACCATTCAAATGAAAGCTACTGAGCAGCTCTTTCATGTTGTGTTATTTGTTTTTCAAAATTTTTCAAATTGAAGTGAGATTTCTTTCCCGTCTTCCTTTTTAGCTCGAGACCTACTGGGCGCGGAAAGCGTTGACTTCGCTCGGTCGATAACGGTACTTCCTAAAGCGGCTATAACATCACAAAAATAAAACAAAACGTTACAAAAGAGTCCACACTACCTTTCGAAGATTCTTAACCCTACATCCCACCAAACAAACGGTAAACATTACGTGTGGAGGCATCACTGCGAAGTGCTAAGTCGACAAACGCGTGATATCTTTCTAAACACGACACTGTGATCGCGAAGGGAAGTTGATTGTGAAATTACAGTGACGCGCAAAACACTTATATATGGAACATGACGAGAAGCCATTGAACCGTAACCCTATATCGGCCACGCATCGCTTGAAAAAAAAAGAAGAATAAAAACCCCCCAGGCAAATTGTTGTTTGTCTACATACCTGTCTCTCTTTTTCTTCTCTCTCCCACCTTTCGCTTTCCTTTCTAGCCTCTTCCTCCTGGTTAGAGAAAAAAAACACCGGAAAAAGAAAATCAAAAACCTCCAGGCTTTTTTACTATGGGAGGAAACTAAAACAAAGCAAGGGAACAAAGTAATGCGCGGCAAACATATTCGGCCGTAAATACAATTGTACAGTTTTTCAGATTGGCAATTAAACGCAATTTCCACTTGAAACTGTCGAGAAAGTTAGCAAATGTTGAAATAGAAAATTGCTTCTACATTAACATTAATAGTCATTTAAGCCACAACGGGAACTTAAAAATAAATCATAGCAAAATGAACCCAATTCAAACACTGCGGGAATTAAAAAGTACCATTTTGCTCTTCACGTATTGTCGAAGAATAGCCATAATATCGATTTTGGCCATGTTGGTGAAGACAACAACAGCAGGTTCGGTCGAGTTGAAGCCGACAAAATCTATGCTAAATTCGCTCTCTAGTTGCTAATGTTGTGGTAAGGTCAGGGCACACCGCCGACACATGACTTGAGAGCTAACCAATTGTTATCTCTTTTCAAACAAAAGAACACATTTGACGCGTACAAAACACGTCACAGAAAATTATATTATTACAGTGAAGTCCCGGCTGATTTCCTCCAACGCGGGAAAAAGAACAAAAGACAAATTTCTACCGACATATCAAGTTAATGAATGAAATGACAAGATGTCGAGAAATTCAATAGATGTTGGGCCTCACACAATAGCATTTCGAGAAAAACATTCTTAAGCCCCGTTCACACCACGCCGGACAAATTGAAAAACCAAATGTTGTAGGTCAACCTGTGATACAGCGAATGGATATTTCGATAATGAGTTAATTCTCAAGGAAAATCAAGCTTTATGTACAAGGAATTACGGGTTAACGAAGCGACAACTCCCGGAAAAGCTGCTATTTTTGAAAACGTTCACGTAGAAGGTAACTCCAATACGTAATATTACGCAAAACGCTTGAAAATTGATGTAAAACGTGGGATGAAAGGACTTCAATATTCTTGAAGACCCTCGGAAACCTACAGTACGTAGTTACATCACTTGAAACAAAGTGTAATTTCTTCCGAAGGTCTAGTCGCACTAGTTAAGATATCTCCAACAAGGATATTATCTAAGCACAGGCCGTTATTTTTTATTAAAAGACTACTTAGAAGGATATTAAGAGCAATTTATTGTACCGTACGACAAACATGTAGTAAGTAAACATTTTTAAACGAACGCAATTATCAAGTCATTGCCATGTGTCGAGCGTTCAAACTAGCCGTTGTGTAGTGTTTACTTGAGCTTAAATGTCTCCATCGTTAAACGTATTTATGTACTTAGCACAGAAATAAGCATTCCTTATTTAATATGAGGTTGTTACATTAGTTAATTACACTCTTTTTTATAAGAATATTGTTTTTCCGGCCGAGGCTGAATATTCTTATTTTTCTGTCTATTTTAGGTTGAATATATCCTTGTGAATATTCTTAGATTAGAGCGTAGGGCATTTCTGTTTTCAAATGTATTAGGGTCAGTTAAAGACCTATAATTGTATTGTATTTCCAAATTTTAGACACACAAAATTATATTCTTTCCAAAATCTCAGCCTCGGGTTTAGTCTTAAACTATTCTTAAACTTTCGCAAATTTCAGCGTCGATATTCTTATAAAATATACTCTTAAAGCCAGGCAATTCGCTTTACTTAACCGAGTTTAAGGTAAAATGCGGCGCTGAATCCGCAAAATGACTGTCGTTTTTTTTTTTTTCGAAAGCGAGACTACAAAGAAAAGATATACCTCAATTTGTTCAAGAAAAGTAAAATATGGTCGCAAATGTTCCACCTGGCTTAAAACACACTGTTTCCGCGAGGCGCCTGAGAATAACAGCAAACGTTATACAAAAAAAATTACTAAATTATGCAGTTCGAACGAGTTAATTTTAGCACAAGAGCAAAACACCTTTTCCCAACAAAAGAAGTCAATTTTTCCCACAAGTTCTAAATTTACTTGCCGAAAGGACCTCAGCAGGTACCATTATACAGATGGAAAAAACTCTTTTTCGACATAAAAACGCGACGGATTCAATCGCTTTTTAAATTCCCAGCGGTAGTTTTCTTGTTAACTTTTTAAAACAAAGATTTTGCTTCCATGGCTAAACAGAATACAACAACGACACTTAACGCTAAGTATATAAAGGACGAAAACAAAACCACCCGTCCCTTCCCTAGAGAGTTTGGTTTCGTTGTGTTGATACAACTGGATCAAATTCAACTGCCTTTTTCACAAGTCTGTATTGACTTAGAAACGGATCTTTCTTCGCTTTTTCAACGATTGAATTTTCCTCGAATTTTTAAAATGTCTTGTCTACAGGATTAGCGCTTTGCCAAAAGAGACGGTTTTCAATGGAATTTTAAGAATCTGCCTTTTCAAGTGAGTTTATCAGTAATCCTGTCGAATGAAGATTACTAAGAACAATAATATAGGGACTTAAAGAACATTCTTTCTTTCCAGGAATAAAAATGCGCTTGGCAAGAGCGAAAGCGAAACAGAGATAAACCATGTTTACTCAGCTTTAGTGAGAACTCATTTCCATAACGCTCTGAAAGCAAAAACATACCGTTTTTGCTTCTTTCACTAGAATAATTATATTTCAAGGAGACTAAAGCAATTACTGGCAGTGAATCAAGCGCAAATTCTAGTTCAACACAATCTAAACAGCACGGATAACCGTAGTTGGTGTGTTCATTCAAAAGCATAAGACGAAACACTGATAATGTTTCCGCAGAAATTCAAACATATAAAGATGGCTTACCGGTACTTTATCCTTTAGGTAAAACGATGTCATTTATGCCAGCGATGTTAAATTTTCTAAATGGTACTCGCCCTTCGCCAGACTTTGGTGAAAAACCTTGACACCACGCCAACAGACACGCGGCCTTTGTATGTCATGTCTGAAGCGCATGTGTTGACATGACGTGACATGAACGTCACGCCAGCAAACGTGGGTGGCACATGTCACGCATTCTCAGTTAATTTGACATTTTCGCGACCAGAATTAGAAACGAATTCACTTTCGAAGGAAGAAATTATCAACGAAACAGGCTTTTGCAATTTATTACCTTGCTCACTCTAGGTCGACCGGCCGTAAGTGAAGGCACGTTTCCCAATTACTGCGCTTTTCCTCAGAAATGAGCGAATAAAAACAAGAAATGTCTTCTACCCACCTGTCTCTTGATTTCTTTTCTGATGTCTTCGTAGGCTCTTTCGTTAACCGGTATGTCACGCTCCAAAGACTCCTGACTCTGTGATTTTGAGGTGTTTATCGTCGCCACGGGACTAGCCTGCCAGGCCGCGTGTTGTCCCGCGGGCACGTCAGCGGGGTCGAACCCGTCGCACACCAGCAGCGATAAATTGTCTCCAATCCCTCTCAGCGAGCGCACGGCTTCCAGATGCGTGGCGCCAAGGAGACTGGTGCCATTGACCTAACAAGGTACAAAAACGTGTATTAGCCTTCTTGCAAGTCTCGCTGTATCGGATAACATTCTTCAATACTTATGCCAGAAATCAACACTTTCACTGCTAAGCTCGAAAAATAAATTCTCCTTATTAGTTGCCGTAATTCCACTTAAATTTCATTTTGAGAATTTGCTGCTTCATCAAGACAATATTCTCTGCTTGATCATCTTCGTAAATATTCTCTATACCTGCCTAACTGTTTTGCCGGTAACACTGTAGGGAGAAATTAGAGCTCCTCACCTCTAGCAATCTTTGTCCCACTTTAAGTCGTCCATCTTTAAACGCTACGCCGCCCTCGTTCACTTTAGACACAAATATTCCTTCATCAGTCTTGTCTAATGGATTTCCCGGATGTCCTTTGGCGCCACCTCTTATACTGATCCCCAGTCTCTCTCCAGGGCCTTTGTGCAAATGTACCTCCTGCAGAAAAAAAGATGAATGAAATCAAACTGTTATATAATACCGTCCTTTATGGCTTATGTTAGGTAGGAGGAGCCAAAAAGTATCTATCTACTCAGACTTCAATTATCCGTGGAATGTACTGCTTGAAAACTTAATAAATTTTTTTTACATCTTTTCTGATTGTTTTCAACGGTCTTAGCCAATCAATTGCTAGAGATGTCTACAAAACCAACACATACATGTCAAAACCTTCATTTAGACTGCAAAGCACGAATTTTTTAAAACTTACTCCAGTTACCCTCAAATAGAAAGAGAGAAGTGACAGCTACGAAATCTATAGCTTGCTGGAATCCACTTTTTTGGCTTCGTTTTTCGCTCGCGGAAACCTTTTCAAGTTTGCAACAGTAGAGTAAAGGGAAACTGGTGAGATACCAGACCCAGTCTTCCACCATTACACAAAGTTCGACACAGAATTTTTGCAAAAGACAGTTTTTCAAGAGTATCAAGAAACGAAACATTGCTCTGCCTTTCGGAAAGAAGATAAAGAACGTTCTATGCCAAATGTTTTCAAGTGGGGCTCCTTCGTTAATTTGCGGTTTTACTGTTGTTCGTTTTTTTTTTGACGGTGAAAGGTAACCTGTTGTTTTATACCACACAAATATCAAACAAAAACAGCAGCTGTATGCACAAGTTTTTTCTTTTCACCAAGGGAAAAAAATCTTGTTCCGGCGCAGACAACAGTGGTTACATATATATACAGTGCGTGGGAAATTGAGGAACCACGAATAGACGGCTAATTCAAAGAGTAATCCAAGCAAAGAAAACCTTTTTGGACGAGGTCAAAATATAAATTCTCCTCAACTTTTTCCATACAATTATTGTAATACCTTTAAGAGAAATTCGATCAAAATCAGGCGTTCTTGCCAAGATGATCAGGCTATCAACTCTCACACGCTCCTTGATTACATTTGTTCTTAAAACAGTACAGAGAATTTACGATTTTATCATGACTTGGATTCAAACGATTACATAACAGACCACGGTAAAGATGTTAAACAAAGGACAAAAGCTTATGTAAGATCACTTCACTCCACAAGAAGAACCACTCCAGGAACACGAGAGTAAACAATTATCTTTGACGAACAAGACAAGCCGAGGCACGTCCATTGCTCAAACAATTTCACTTAACTATCAACCCACCCCCGCACAAAGCACCGAGAAAGATTGATTCTGTGAAAGTATTTCATTAAGCCGACACCCAAATTCTTATTGTACCTTGTGAAAAAAGACCCAAGGCGTGTCTGAGCAAGGTGTTTACATTAAAAGCTCCGAGAGTTGTCGGAACCTCTTTGAAGGATTAATACACATATGGCAACAGGTCCTATACAGATTTTCGGTTTGGTGTCAAAGTCTTGTAAAAACTACCAGAACGCTAGGAATGCTATACATTACGACTTCACACCACTATCCGAATTGGCAATACAAACAAAAAAAATCTGACAGCGTAATTTTAAGGCTTCGTTCGTGTGCTTTGTACAAAAATTATGACTTTAGGAAACAATGAAAAGATCAGAAAGTAATTAATTGAATTTAGGGTTTCTTTATCTTAAGCATGAAAATCAACGAAACGAGTGTTTCAGTGGAATGGTGTTTTTCCTTTAGGAAGGATATGAAATTGTAACCAGAGGCAGATATGTTCAGTTGCTTTCCCCATAAATAGCGTAACCAAATCATCTTGAAAGATTACAGAACCGGTGCGACACGCTTCACAAAGCAACTGTATTATTTGTAAACAGGAAAACGACTTTGGGCTAAAAAAGAAAAACAATATTATTCGAAACTAAAAAAGACACTTCTTTTGGCCAATACATGTCTATGTAACACGACTGAAATACGAGAGCAGACGGGACAGATTAGTTACACTTACCTGAAGTCCCTTCGGTGGTGGATCATGGCGGACGAGAAGCTTTATAAGAGACACATTAGCTATTAACGCTGCTACAGCTTCTTGGTGTGTGGCGTTTCTCATGTCCTTACCATTTACCTACGAAAAAGCGTGAATTAAATTACACGAGGGAAAAAAACACTGTTCTGATGAAATACACTAACGCTTAAAAGGCCAATATTTCCAGCACTTGCGAATTATCGACCACTCTTTCGACTGAATTTTCGCGAAAGTATATGACACATTTTTGAAATAAAACGTTTGGTGATTGCGACTTTTACCTTAATTTGAAAGAGCAAACTTCAAGCCGATTGCTGCCTCTCATTAAAATTAGATTGAAGAAACGTTTGCTGGTAATATACCATGAATACGCTCCTTGTGTGTCATGCAAACTGCGATGAAAGTTAGCACGGATGAAGAATAGTATTTTCGTCTCTTTTCGAAAGAGCCTCCTAACAAAGCGGTCTTTTCCAGATCTAAGTGACTCCATGAAAAGACCAGCTATTTCCAAGAGGAAAGCAAAAAGACAAGGAAGTAATGAAATTTGTTGACCAAAGCTAAACTCATGTTAACCTCATGTAACCAATTATAAATAACGAGAGATTCGCTCAGGCAAGTAAAGGGAAACAAATCTAATGTATCACCACTTGCGAAAAAACTATCAAAGTTTCGTGATACGATACAGTGTTGAGAATAAGACCTCTTACATCCGTTGCTACACTGCACGAAATATGTCACTCGATACTCAGTTCGACTTCGGCTTACTGTTGACAATATCTTTTCCAAACCGGCCTAAAATTACGATACACCGATAAAACAAGAGATCACAAGCTTCTTTAAATCACCTTTCTCCGAAGAGAAGCTGTACAAGGCCAGCTTCTAACTATATCAACTCCAATCATATCACACCCGTTGTTTTCTCTTCGCTCCTTTCTCTAGACTACTCACGGAGATTGCTTTACATACACCTTTCAAGTCATTGTTTGCTTTGACAACCAAGCATAACTAATTCAAACAGGGCCAATAAAGAGAACTCCCAAGTGGATTACACTTTTACTCAAAAGGTATTTCAGGCTATGATGTTAAGGAGTTTAATTAACCCGATGGGGGCACTTAACACGATAAATTTCCACTTAGAGACATTTTCGACCGGCTGGATGTCTTTGAGGAACCGACGAGTCTTAGAGTGTTGTAAAGCCGGCGTCGTAAGTATATTTGCCGCAGTATACACAACTAAAGACTAAAAAGAATGCTTTACACAACATTGAATGGCGGTTTGTTTGACGACCAACTTGTTCATGAGCAAGAGTAGATTAATTAAATTTCGCACGAATATGGCCGTTTTTCGCTTCATATCTGAGTTGGACGCCCACGTTTCCGAAAAATATTACCCACAGTTCTTCTAAGAAACATTCTAGGGAAAAAAACCCTCAAATTAACAGCAACTATGCAAACAAAGATAAAGCGAACAAGATTTTTAGTAAGCAGTTTTCTTATTACATAATTCTTACATCTTAAAAGTTAACTCGCCAAAATTTTAACTGAAGATGCTTTCCAAAAGACAGAATATTGCTTTCGCTTTGAGAAGAACCTGAACTACTTGGTTCGCTTTGCAGCATCACGAATTTAACTCATTCGTGAGGGTTTTAATCAAATTTTTCACAGTTTCTTTGTCCAAGTTTTGAAAGCTTTCGTGGCTTTTCAACTGCGAATGTACGTGAACTTGCAAGTGAACTTGCACGTGTAATTTTGACGTTTCCAAATCAAACACAAACTTGGTTCCCCATTGGTCCAGGAATACGAAAGCCAATGAAAAGTTGTCAATATATTTCAAGAGTTAATCCAAAGTTTTACCAAGCACGGAACGGTTTATTAGGGTTTCGCTCAAATTAAATAAGAATTTCTTTGATTTTTCCGCCGACGCCAACGAAATTATACAACAACCAACGTTACGTAATTGAAAAGAAAGGGTACGTTGATTAAAATCCTATTACAAAGATATTTTCATGGCTCGATATTAAAACAAGGCATTACCGCTGATGTCATATCCCTAGAATTTAACAAGATTTTTTCGACAAAATCTCGATCCTCGCACGCTAACATCGAAGTTGAACCTTCTCTCGCAATTTCAAGCGAGTTGATGCGAGTTTTTGCTCGCATGACAAGCTGATGGTGAAAACTCTCGCGTATTCAACTCTTTTAAATGAGCTCATGGTAAATTATGGATAAGAGTTAAAGATACCTTTTGCCCAAACTGTCCCTGACCTCTTAACGAATCTTAACAATTGGCAAGGGCTTTTACTCAATCCAAGCAAATATTTTCCGTTTCCGAACAAAGGAAAACAAACTTGTAATCCTGAGACGGTATACTTTTCCTAGAACAGATAGCCTCTTCAACTAATAAATCATTTACCCCTCAAAAAAACAATTTACATAACAATAAACAAACAAATCTACATCCGGTTTCTTGTTAAATTCAAAACAACGAGGTAGACAATTTGTGATCAGTAAGAGCTCTTAATGACGTCTAATTTCCGTTTTGCTAAGAGTGTGTCGGCGCTTCCACAAAAAGGCGGGAAATTTAGCGACCAGCGTCGCTCGCGCTCCAGTTCCTGATTGGCTCACTACAGAGAGTGGCTCCGCACGCTTGTTGCACCCATAACGTCATCTCGCACCTAAAAAAATTAACTGCTTGCCTTCTCATTTTTTTCAATAATAAAAATTCTTACCATTAACATTCTATCTCCGACTCTAAGATGTGTCGTAGCTGCAACTCCGTTTGAAACAATCTAAAAAAAGAGTAATAAGGAAACAAGATTACCTACCAAAAAACCCACCTCGCACAAACAAGGCAAACTTCACGAGAAGCAGTAAACACATGTTCCAAAGTGGTTCAAAACCATACCTTAGAGATAAATATTCCAGGTTCGTCCATTCCAAACGGATGGCTCGCATGATCAGAGCCTCCAACAATGCTGAATCCTAAGGGGTTGTTGCCTTTCTTTAAAATGATTTCCTGATTAAAAAAAAAAACAAAAAACAGCAACAAATATCAAATCGTTAATTCTCCCTACTGATTTCCATCATTCCTTCTGTGTTTGTTCTGAGAACTCGATTGTGCATCAAAACGAACTACCCATACTCTAGAATGAATTTATTATCTCTTCTTGTCCGTTTGACAACAGGAAAGGGCGTCTCTCATTAGTCAGAAATGTAGCAGCTGTCGTAAGATTGTAATTGTTTTGCTTGTTATTGTTTTAGGGCTAGGATAATTGTTTCTGTTATTTGTTCTATTTTCCTCTCAAAGGTTACCATGAGACCTTACGGAAGCTGCTATCCATCCCTAATTGGTTAGACCGCACTGAGACGGACAAGACTTAAAATGTCGAGGGCTAACACGAGCCGTTCAAGAATTTGTCGAGCTTGCACTAACTAATTAGAAAAAGATGTTGCCATCGGCACAGCTAAACAATTACAATTTGGCTGACGGAATTTCAGGTGCTTTTCCTTGGTTTGACGTTGTTGCTACAAGTTATGATTGGCTGATTGCATTTGTCAAAGATGATTCGTTGAGAAATCTACTTGTGTATAACAACTTATTTAATACCAACCTCAATATCAAGGTCTGCAGCTCCATTCTTGTCGGCATGATTAACTTCTGTCGACTTCTCCGGTGTTACATGGTTCATTTCAGGCTAGAAAGGAATGGATACGTCGAAACAGTTAGCTTTCAACTCTCTGCGTGACGCTTGGGTGTGGCAGACCTGCGTGCGTGGAAACGCGAGGCGCGCGCGCGCGTGTGTGCGACAGCATTATGGCTTGCAGCATACCTTTGGTGCCAGTCTCTTGTTAACTAACGACTGATCCTGCAGTTTTGAGAGCGGTAACATTCTCTTGTTAATAACCCGTTCACGAACAACCACAAGGGTGACGTAAGAGAGCCCGCCGGTTAACATGGCAACAGCGTCCTCGTGCCGCGCGATTTTCATATCTTTACCGTTGATCTGCAAAACAAAACAAACAGAAAAGAAAATTAGAACGAAATACCTCGACAAAACGTCAATCTAACCACTACCAGACTCCAAGAACGGCAGTCGTTGGCAAGCGCGGGAAACTTTACGCGACTAGCCATGGCATAACATCTGATTGGCTGTACTGACAGCAACTTAATTGCTGGCAGCCTGCGGCAATCGCGGGAAAATTCACGTGACTAGTCACGGAATAACATCTGATTGGCTAAATAAAAAGAAACTTAATTCTTATTGGCGAAAGCAACTTCTGCGCGTTTTATCGAGCCAACCGTACACTACAAGACATTGTTCGAGGTTTGTATCTAAGAGAAATAGCAATTGATTTTTCAAAACCTTGAAAACTAACTTATGAACTGAGTGCTAACAGCAGTGCTTACCGAAAGTACTTTATCTCCAACTTGAAGCCTCCCATCTCGCTCCGCCGTTCCACCCTCGGCAATCTTAGAGATGAAAACTCCCTATAAAGCGATCAACAAATGATTAACAAGACAAGCACCATTTAAACCTGACACAAACATCGACAATTTGAAATTGCCCAACTTCATAAGATTCACAGAGACTTCATTGTTCAAGAGAATCGCAAAATTCGAATTAATTCTTGGAAATCTTTCAAAAATTCTCATTACCGCAAGAGATTCCGCTCTTATCGCAAAAGAAACAATGTCTCTCGAGTCACTTTACATCAGGCACGTAATATTTCCCATGGCTTATTTCAAGGCTGAAGTACAGTTAAAAATCATATATACCGAGTCGCCATCTTTATATGGAGTCGATCCACGACCCCCAGCAATGCTAAACCCCAGGCCCTTTTCACCTCCTCGCTTTAACGTGATCGTCTCTTTCTGCAAAACAAAGATTTGAAAAGATATTCAAGATGGCGGCCAATAGTAGGCTGTCAAGTTTCCACGGGCCGTTTCCGAGTTACCTGGTGCCTCTGTTTCAAAACGAGCCTTCCTGCAAAACCTTTCATATGAAAATGAGTTTGATTTGCATGAAAATGAACCTCTGGGCGGAACAGATTTTCATATGAATGGTTTCACATGAAGACTCTTTTGACACAGAGGCAAGAGCTATCTCAGAAATGGAGTACCGTTCAGAAAGTGGTTAAGCCGTCCAAGTTATTTTTAATGAGTAATGCGTACCTCTGTTTTGGTTTGAATGTCTTCCATTTCCGGTTCCGGTGCGAATCGCACGCCGACCTTTTTGGTCTCTTCCTTTGGAGGTTCTTCAGCAACCTGCCAAAAATACCATTCCCAGAGATTGACCGACACACAGTTTCTCCTTACCATATCAGTATACTTTCAAACAGACAGGTGATGGGAATCAAGACAATAGTCAATTTGGAGATCCTGAACTAATTTAACCCCAAGATCTCATAATTTACCTTCAAATAAATTATAGAAACAGCAGGGAGAATTAAAATTTTGATCCTCACCTTGGGTGGTTCAATTTCTGGCTCCTTGTGAACCTCATTCACTTCCTGCTTCGTAAAAGCTTCCTCTAAAGCTTGATCAATCTCATCAGCATCATCTGTTATCATCAGGTTTTCCCTGGATGACTTCACAACCGTTCTCTTTTCCAGATCTTCTCTTTCTCTAACAACAACTAAATGAATGTCGTTTCCGGCGTTTTTCAAAACACGCACAGCCTCGTGATGAGTAGCGCTTGAAATATCAACGCCATTTACCTACAAATAAATACAAATAAATACAAATAAATAAAATCTTGCTGTGAATAATCACACATTTGTCAAGCTATAAGGCGATCTTTCATGGTGAAATCTTTAGCTCTTTGGGTAAAATATTGAAGATGTTGGCTTTCAAACCCAGCAAAATCTGGGGTGGCAAAAGCGCTAACGAGCCCATATATTCTTTGTAAGAATTTGAGTTTTGAAACCCTCGTCGCACAAAAAGTGATTAATACATCGGGCGCAACTTCCTTAGCGTTCTGAAGACGAGGGCGAAAATTGTGGGAAAACTGGGGCGAGAGCAAACAACCGACGTAGTCCGGGATAGTGGGGCTAAGTCAATTTTTTTTTGTTCTCGCCCCAATTTTCGCGCGTTCAAAATGCGAAAAAAGCTCTTCCTTCGTAAGGCCGGAGACAAAATTTACTTGCTACGCAGGCTAGCAATGAGTAGAAAGTTCACCTTCATGATCTTGTCACCCGTTTTGAGAATCCCATCCTGGCCTGCAGGACCATTTTCTGAAATCTTCGAAATAAAAATTCCCTGCAAGAGACAACAGGAAAACACTGCACTCCAAACTGTTACTCGCGTCTCCCCTACAATTCTTTCCTATTCTCGTCACTTCCTTGCCCCGGGGAAGGGGGACTCCTATATGAAAAGGTCGGGTAAGCTCGTAGGAAAATTGAATTAAACCCCTAAAGGAGACCAATCTGGATGTGGCTGCAGCTTTATTTGACCCCTATAAGATACCACTTAAAACGGAACAGGTTCCATTAGCAGCCGCTGTTCAGGGAAGGAGCCAGCGCTAGTTGACCGGACTCGAGAGACTGGCGGAAATCGAGCCTTAAAATCGAAATAAGAGCATTTTTTCCATTATTATTTTCTCGAGTGCATTCCAAAAGATAATTTGACCACTAAAAATGGTGGGGTTTCGTTATCAACACCGTAAGTGAGACCAGAATCCTTGATTTACACCCCTAAGCGAGACGACGAGCAGTACGGCAGTTCACCCGGGCTTCCTTGGCTGCTATCGTACAGAGTAGACGATCTATTAAGATTACCATTTTCCTTCTCAAAGAGGTCAGGAATTAATAGTCTAACATGATTATTCCACCAACCTCATCATTTCCGATGTAGGGAGTTGAACCTTTCCCACCGGCAATGTTGATTCCAAGGCCTTTGTTATTCCGATGAATCGTGTACTCAATCTGCAAGAAAATCGCTAACATTCAAGAAACTTATACGCCAATTGAGAACTTCCCGAGTTTCATGTTCTTCATCCAAGTTGAGTTTGTTTGTGTCAGTACTAACTAACCACCCAACTGAAGCGTACTGACAGGCTTCAAGGAGCTCAGACACGGTATTTTGAATTATTTTGGCCACAAACAAAATTACCTTTAATTTGAATGAAAGCTGAAAATAATAGTTTACTGAGATAGAAAAACACTTGCGAAATACTACTAAACCATAAAGAAACAAGGATGGTTAAGGATGGAGAAGATTAACACGGATTATAAACGAAGAACTTGAAAAATTAAGTTAAACTTTTCAACATGCGCAAACCGTGACCAAGCTCCATTAAGGTGAACCCCACGCAGCCCCACCTACCCATCCCTTAGGAAGCACTTCTAGTTCAAAACGTCCCTTCCCTACTCTAGTCAGTCCAAATTTTCCTCACCTCTTCCACAACTTTCGTGACTGTCACAAGCTCTTGTTCTTCATTCTCTGTGTCGGCTTTCTCCTCCTCGCTAGCACGGCGTCCAAACCCGTTAGGAGGCGTCGGCTTTCTCTTCAAGGCTGGACCCTCTACAAGGATACAAAAATAGACTTATTGACAAAGCAAGACGAGAAAAGCACAAAGACAATAGGCCACTTCCGAGTTGCCCTGTCTCGGTTTCAGAACGAGTCTTCATGGGAAACTATTCATAAGAAAATGTGTTTAGCCTAGAGGTTTATTTTCATGCAAATAAATGTCATTTTCAAATGAAAAGTTTTGCGCGAGGACTCGTTTTGGAACAGTGGCTTAACGTCACTCGGAAATGACCTATTTAGACAATACGCGAGTCAGCATTAAAAATGCTACTCCGTGCAGATTTCACCAAAATGGCTAAGTTTTTCTAATTGATTTGATTTCAATAATCGAAATTAAAATCTCATTGAGGCTAAATCAATACAAGTTAAAATAAGACTTTCAAATTCAACCCCAAGAAAGAGTCAAACCATAGTTTGTAAGATATTAGAATAAAAAGTTCTGTTTTAATAATTAAATATCCTGCATATATTTATTGACTCAGATAAAAGGAAAACATACAGGTACCAGAGCTGGAATAATGCAAATATATTGACAGTTATGCTTATTTTATGGCAGTATTTTTAGCAACTTGAGCATTATTGAAAACTCCTTTGTCGCAAATGTAGGAATGACTATTTCACAGAAGAATTTCTTCAGTTTTACTTTCCAAACCACGCAAAATGAAGACAAAAAGAGCAAACATATTAAAATCACTCATTCAAACTAGTTGCTAAAGATGCAGTTTGGCAGTGTTAACAACGCAAATCGTAAAAATATTAGTTTCTAATTTCTTTTGACAGATTCAAATTCAAAAGTCTAGAATGATTTTGCACAGAAAAAAACAAGTTTAAACATGGAATAGACACTGCTATCCTGTTTAAAAGAAATTTAAATTGACCAGTTATAAACTGAAGTCACATCAGCCAAGCTAAATGTCCTCAATGCAATATCATAATGGCAAATGAATTAACAGTTATGAGGTAAAAAAATTTTTTTTCCTAACCTGACCAAAGTACAGTGAATGGGCCATATTTTCCCAATACAGATACAACCATTGTACTTTTGAACGCAAAGAAGATTCTTCAAATTTCCGGCACAACGAAGAACGCTTTTAAAGCATACACACACAGGTGTACTGAATGTTCCAAATGCAAAGTAGGCTTCATTTCCTCAAAACAAAGCATGTGGCAAAAATGTGATGAATTATTCAGAACAACTCCACATTGAAAACAAAAATCACTAATGACACACAAATATTGAATTCACATGAGTTGCCATGTTAATGAAAGAGCTATATCTGTTTTAAAAATGATCTGAATTGGAAACTGTATGTGGGGCCATTAGTGAACATTTAAATTTTGACATTTTCAAGAAATTTTTTACAACGACAATGTTAAAATTAAAAATTACTTGAAATGCTCAAATAAGATTTAATTGTAAGGGAATATTTACACAGAACTGCTTCCATTTGTGGATTATGAGAAGTTCAGATTTAAAGTAGTAATATTCAATAATGGAGTTCACCTAATTTGAAACGGGAAAGCCACATATATGCTGAAATAATTTTACTTAATTGAGGTTTTGAATCTGCAAATTAAGCTCAAGTTACAGTTTGAATGCTTAGTGTGTTAAAGCAATAATAATTTTTATTATGCGGAATAATTTCCAAGTCCAAGTTGATTTCCAGCACAAACATATACTACAGCCCTCAAAACAAGAATTTCTGGTCATCTCGAGATTTAACACAGCTTGCTGCCCTCTACACACTTTCTTATGCACGTTCTGAGAATTTGATATTTCATCAAAACTATTTTCAAATTGATGGCGTTTTTATTTAACATTTGCAACCCATTATTCAAGTGTTTCAATGCCGGGCTTTCTGTATAGAATCATAACCCCCAAAAAATGTCAGTATGTAGGCTTGCAAAATAATGCCTTTTAGTCCATTTTTCATCAAAAATAAATCTCATTGTTTTCTCTGTTGATGTAGTTTTAAATCTCTTTTCTCATATCAACCTCAAGATTCTCCTTACTGTTTTCATATTCCTTCTATACTCCCCTTGGGAGAATTTGGCTTTAGGTAAAAACATTCTAAGTTAAGATGATCATGTGCCACAGAGCTGGTTTACACCAGTAACTGAGCTGATCTGAGGTCCCATAAGCAGGGTAATGTATGTGCCTGAACTGATTTTTGATGTTTTCAAATAAAAAATATCTGAAAGTCTGCACTTTGTTGTTGGAACTTCAACAGAGTCCTTTCGTCTGTCGTTATTTTACTGGCCCCTTTGTCGCTGTTGCAATACTGTGTTACTAGTTGAAATATACCTTAACAAGGCCTCTGACATCAGAAGTGTGGCTACAAGTGCAATAGTCTGCCTAGGCACCATTTAATCCTTGTTGTGATTACAAGCGGATGATTATACATGTACTTCCAAATCTAAATTTCACTCATCGCTAAAGCAAATCAGACAACCCTTAATTTCACAACTTTCTTCTTTCAGTGTGTTGCAAAAACATATGGCATTAAAATACTGTGAGATGTTAACACTGCTAAAAATATAAGACTGCTTTCATTGACATATCCTTAAAGCTGCTATTAAAAAATGCTGCCTTGAAACAAACTATCTGCATCTGTCAGTTTGTATCAAAACAACTATTTCTGTGAAAGTGCACATCCACATTAACATATTTTATAAAAAAAAGTTACTGTTTTTTTCTCTGCCCATACCTTCCATTTCTCCATCAAGGCGGCCATCTTCATTCTAGAAATAAAACAAACAATACATTTTAAAGTTGTACCATACACACACACACAAACACGTTTTAAGGAAATGAGCCCAAATGGAATATCAAGTCAGACAGAAAAATAATAAATAAACAATATTATTGATTACAAAATAACTCAGATAATGCACACACTCTCATTAAATGAGAGTTCATAAACATGGTTGTGTCAATGTTTTAGATTTATGCATATTCTCGAGACAAATTTTGTAAAAGCAATTATAGTCAAGAGCAATTTTTCCCTGTTTACATAACCTCATCTAAACACTTGGTGGTTTAGAAATTCTCGAAAGTTATGCAAACTTTGAATGCATGTTGGCTTTGCATAACTGTCTTGAATTATCCGAACCTCCCAAGTTTTTAGAAGAGGTTATGTGAACATGGAAAAAGTACTGTTAATTATTACTTAATCATGATTCTGAGGCATGACAATACATGTAGGCTGCAACTCCTAACATTACATATCCAAAACATTCCACCTCTATGCCTCCACTGTTTTTGACACAAAACCACACAGCACCAAGATTGTCTCTTTAAGAAAATGTGTAGCTCCAGAAAATATCCATAACTCCCCTATGGAAGGGATTTTTTAAAAGATGCCCCCTTCCNCCCCCCCCCAACCCCTCTGGAAATTCCAATTCAGCTTCATACATTTCTTTAGCTTTTTTGGTCTTACCGAACCGTCCCCCCACCTTCAGAAAATTCTGATCCCTTCTGTGGGGGGAGTATGGATATTTTCTAGCACTGCACAATGCTTGAGAATACATACAATAGACAACTCACAGTCACAACAAACATCATAATCGTGAACAGGTAAAGATATAGAAAACAGTCAAACAGTTCTTACAGCTTCATTATTCTGGCCATCGTCACCATCACGATTCCCAGCCTTGGCAAGAATTTCCATGACTTTGTCCTGATTGTTGGACTGAAGATCAATTCTCTTGCCTTTCAAATAATGAGGAGTATCTCGTCGCCGCAGCTTATCATGTCTTTCCGTCTCAGGATGGTCTTCTCCTTCAAATCGGATTTTCTGCTCCCTGTCGCCGTCATCCTCAGAGCCTGATGCCTGAAATAAGACAAAATTAATTAACATGATCAAAATCTAATTTATCCTTACCATGTCGATATATTGTGAAGCAAACAAGTGATGAGAATAAAGAAAACATCAACTAGGTAGACTGTCTTGATGTACATTGGAACTCTGCATTACGGTCACCTCATAACAGTCACCTCATTATTTCAGCCACCTTTTTTTGTCCTGGCAAAATGCCCAAACATTTACTTATAAGAAAACCCTATTAAAGCAGCCACCCCATTAACATGGCAAACAGCCACATTCTGAAATCCCAACCTGTGTAATCCTTCATAATTTTACCCCGTTTATATGGCCACTCTAACCAGTTATGTTCATCTTTCCATTGTTAATTATTGTATGTACTGATTGAAGATTCAATTTTCTTTAAATTATATCTGCATTCTCGATGTTTACTGAATAACAGTACTTTAGAAGTAAGAACAGTAGAGGAACAGTAGTTTAGAACAGTCATGAACTTTGACTCTACCCTGTTAATACTGTCAAATTTCCATCACCTGTTGATGACCGTATTAATGGGGTTCCACTATAACTACATGCACACCAAATTCTCAAATCTAATATTAAAAGAAATGTATGGCAAAAAGCAAAGAGAATTGATATTTTGATGTTGGGACCCACCTCTTCCACAGCTTCTTTATTGTTTTCTTGGGACGTTTCTACTGCAAACCCCACTCCTCCCTTTTTTTCACTGACTGTTTCAGGAACTGTCTCCTGTTTCTTTTCTGCAACCTTGCCCTTGTCTTCAAAACTTGTTCTTCTTGGGCGAAATTCTGAATCGGATCCACTTTCCTCATCCTTACGTTTCAAAGAAAAAAAAGGAAAAGCCCGTTGATTAGGAAATTTCGGATATCCATACACGCAATCAAAATTAGTTTAAAAAAATGTTCAAATTTTGTTTATAGTGATCAATCCGCTTAACTACACCTAGCTAGTTCACAGGTATGCCACTTAAATATATCAACTAAACGTAATAGGCTTAAAAATCCCAACTGGCGGGAGGCAGACCAGTTGGCTATTTACAAGAATTACCCAGGAGATGAACTAGGGTCCACTGAGAAACAACTCCAGTTTAGTGGTCAGAGCGGGTCTTGAACCCATGACCTCCGGAGTTCAAGTCCGTGCCCTAACCACTCAACCATGGTGCCTCCTAGCTTACTAAAACGGAAAAAAAAAAGCATACCGTGAAGGACTTTCGTGATTTGATAATTACGCCATCTAAGTGCTCAGAGCCTTTGATCTTGTGCATTGTTATCTTTGGGTGACGAGCTTTTAGATCCCTAGGATGTGGTGTGTCATGTCGGATAAACTGAGTCTGCAAAAATCAAAGACAAAAACCATGCTGTTAGCCATAATTAAACAAGATTATAAAACTATACAAAGCTTTTAAAAATAACATGTCTTACAGGAGTAATGAAGAAATCCATGCAAATTAGAAGAAGTCCTCAAAAGAGGAGGAACTACAAGAAGCAAGAGGGTCTCTTTTTTTCTATATATTTTTTGCTCCAGTAATCGCCTTGATCCTTGCATGGCTAACCCCGTGAGTGGGCAAGATGAACCGAATCCTGCACTGTGATTGGCTACATGTACCTGAGCAGGCAAGTTAGCACTATCTTGCCTGCTCAAAATTATCCGCTGTGTCCCGCAAGAAAATAGTGTTCTTTTTCCATATAATAAATCCTTTATTGACCAAGTTTGTTCAGTCAAGATGGCTGGATATTAGCCTCGCTCTTTTTTTGCGTGTTTATGGACCTCGACAGTTCTAGGTCCATAAACATGCACAAAAAATACCTCAAGGCCAACTCAACCTCACTCTAGGTCAATGACCCACATGTAATATTAAGTAACAAATTTATTGACACAAAATAATTTCACTTACTTCTTTATCACTATCTCTATCAGAATCGTCAGCAAACTGTACAGCTGGCACACTTCCACTGCGTGGCCGTGCAACTTCCTCTGTATCATCCATTGCAAGATTGTCAACAGCAAATCCATGTGTTAAATCATTCGTAAGCATCTCTGAAAAAATGAAGAAGAATTTTAATAAGACACGTGACGATGCTAAAGGTGGGTTTTCCCTTTCCAGTGACATACCAAAATGAAATTTCTCCCAAGCCAAACCTGGGAGGGAAAGGTTACTCACAAAGGCTTTAGGTTAACGTGTTGGACTAGATGCGAGTTGCACCATGCTACAAAAACTTTTTTTTTTGAAAAAAAGTCAAAAAAGCAACNGTCATGTAACTGTATTTGTTGGTAGTGTAAGTCGTTTAGATATTGTCATTTAAATAGTGTATAGAGCTAGTGTTGTAAGTAAGAATTGTTTTCCCTTGTCTTATTGCAAATCAAAAAAAAAAAACGCTACAAAAACTGTTTAGACCAGTACAGGGGTTTCATTAAGGGCCGCACAACAGGCAAGTTGACCGGCTGTGACGATGATTTTGCCTGCTTGGTTTGACCATCTAGAGGAACATTTTATTTATAAATAAAGAAATTTAGCTCAAAAAGTTTTGCACGCCTGTGAGAACCAGTTACCCTCCTGATGATCACGTTAACAAAAGGATAAACTGCCAGGTCCAAAAAAGGCAGGCTTTTTCTTTTTACTAATTTTAGAAATACTGAACAAAGATGTTTCAACAGCTTAAGAAATTAGGAGTACTGTTAGTAAGACCCTCTGGATGAAGTGTGAGTCAATTACATGCTGTCTATGACATTTTGTCAAGTTGCAGGTCTTAACAATTTGACTGCACCAATACTTGCATTTGTACTTTTTCTTTATTGCAACATTTTCACAGTTGTAACTGTCTACTCACAGTTTTTGAGTGTCATGGTTTCTCAAACATATCTTTTGCAAACTTATATGTGACATTGCTTTGGGCCCTTTGCAGCTAGAGTCACATGACCAATTTTTCCTTAAAAAAGAGCTTTATTATGGGCTGTAACTTAAAGAATGCCAGAAATGGAAAGAGCATATCAAAAATTCCAAAATGGGCAAGTTTGAGGCCCCTGGCATTAAAAAGTAAGTTTATAAGACAGTTTGAATTTTCGGAAAATTTAGAGGATTTGTATGGAAAATGTTGTTGAAGAGCAAGGCCTTCTCCAGAACTCTTTCCATACAAATCTTCATTCTTATTTTGTAAAAAAACTCCAGACCATCATAAAATCTCACTCTTTTATGATGGGGGTCTCAAACTTGGCCATTTCGATATTTTTGACAATGCTTTTTCCATTTCTGGCATTCATTATGCCCATAATTTTAAGAAAAGTAGGTCATGCGATGGCTTAGCTGCAAAGGGCCTATTGTAAGTTCTTTGCATTATTTATAATGGGTATAGATCCTTCGATTTTGTACATTAAAGCAAACTCTCATGAAATGCCTGCTATGTCCAAAGTAACCACACCTGATAAAGATGAGGATTTAATTTCTAAAATCATCATTAACTGAATATCAGTTGAAATAGAAACTTGCAAACACATTAACAGCAGAAATACTATTAAACATTCAAATACTTCCTTTCTTTTTGTTATTTAAAAACAAAAATAATTTTCAACTGAACAGTGCCTAAATTTGAATTTTATTCTGAATCAGTATTCTCGATAGATGTCAACAAAATTTCAATTTAGGAGACAAAAAAGCTAAATTTGAGTTTTGATCATGTATAAATTACAAAATGTAATGATTCTGATAAAGGTAAACTTAATATTTAGAACTTGTGTGAATACGCAATAAGAAATAACCAAAATACTGACTTGACACAAAAATACAAATTATCTGGCTCAGCCACTGAATTAAATAAAATACCACCAAAAATAATTTACCTTTTCTAACACCATATGTCCCATTTTGGCATCCCATGTTAAAACTGCAGCCATTTACCGACTCAAAAAATAACTACTGATATTGCGAGATATGGGCAAGGATATTGTTGATTGAACAAATGCAAATACATGATCCTTTCTCCAGACATAGTGTAGAGTGGTAGATAGTTATTGAATAGCAAAAACATAACACAAGACTGGCTGAGGTACACTGATGTATGCCCTGGTATTATTATTCAAATTTCCGTAATAAAAATGTACACATTACAGACCAACACCTGTTTCAGATTACACAATGTAGACGTATTGAAAAACAGCATGTTTTTCCTTCAAATCCCAGTATTCTGTCATTGCGGTGAGTGTTTGACGAAACTAAAATGGTTAGGAACTGTGTAGTTAAGTCCATCCCAGTAAATATTATCCAGATAGATAAAAATTTTGTGTCATATTAATGCTTCATGTACAAACAAAAAATTAAAACAAGTGGAAACTTTAACTGTCTTTTAAGTGTCTGAGGAAAGATTTAAATGCAAATAAGTGCACTATAATAATATAGTGCCCGACCTGTCAAATCGTGAATAATAAACACAATTTGGGAAAACACTTTTTTTTCTTAAATTTCATTTCACCAAATTAGCACTAAAAGTAAATGCAATTAAGAACAGAAATGCAGATTGATAATTCTAGTCCTTACTGGTTGGCTAACAATTGAATAATGGCATTAAAAAGAAATAATTTAACTTCTAACAAAGACAAGCTCTAACAACATCCCTGTGCAAAAAGGAACAACATAACATCTTAAGAAATGAAATGATTGATTGTTCTCTTATTTCTCATCACAATACCAATACATTCTTAATCTGACAAGCAATGAGAATAAGGAAAATTATCAACATTGGGTCAGTTATTATGTTGACCTACCGCCAAATTCTCAAAGAAATATTTCATAAACAGTTCAAAGAATCAATATATCAATTACAAACACAAGTTTAGCAGCAAAATTACAAGCCAAAGACTTTGACATTTTGACATAATTTTATTATCAGTGACATAAAGCTATCCCTTATGAATCATTATTCTTAAACTCCCTAAAGCATCGATTGAACAAAGTTTCAAACTATTCTCTTCCAAGCAACAAATTTTAAATTACAGTTCTAATTAAATTACATGTAAGGTTGTGTGATATTTCCCACAAAGGAAATTAAAAATCCCTGTTTTAATTTTTCAGAATCTAAACATTAAAAACACAGACCATTGACTACAAATAAACTGGTCTGTTCAAAATCCCTGAATTTGTGCTGCATACATCTTCAATAATAGAGCTATGTGTATTCAAAACAAATGCCACCATCTTGAATTGTATTAGACAGAATTAAGGACAAAAATAAAACAAAATTACCATTCAAAATTGAGGGATTCAACTGTGAAACACTGAATTTGACAGACTGAAATAATCTGACAACCCGCACAAATTGCATTTATTTGTGGTTGCAAATTTACAATCTGCTTGGCTCTCAGACAAAAAAAAACTGTAGTTTCACCTGTCGGTAAAGTTACCTTTCTGACAACAAAGAGCAAATAGAAATTTGACACCCGGCAAAAAGCCCGTCAAAACAGAGGGTTCACTTAGTAATAAAACAAAATTAAATCTTGGTCATCGCAGAAGTCGCATCCACTTGCTTTAAACCAATTTAAACCACAAAAATAAATTAAATGTTGCTTGCCAAATGTTCTTGTTCAGAAAATGTTTAGAACTAACAGTTTTATAGTCAAGACTAAAAGGAAAATGCACCTTCATGGCAGAGTTTCCATACTCCCTTTCTAAGCTTGCTATTAAAATAACGGAACTTATTACATGGCTAGCAGATGAACCAAATCCTTAAATTTTCGAAAATTTAAGGTGGCTCTGAACCCTACCTACAGAATTTTTTAAACTTTGCCAAACGTTGAGTCTTATCATGCTTATCAAAAGTTGATAATATAAAAAATTTTTATCACGCCGTTTTGGAATTATTTGATTGTAGCATCAAATGATAAAGAGTGGTTACAACAACCCATTAAAATGTAAGTGTTGGAAACTGTTTTGAGCCACCTTAACCAAGCTTTTTCAGTCATGGCTGGACATTTGTCTCGTTCTTTTTATGGACTTCCACTCCATCTTGGTCTATGAACACCCAAAAAAATAACTCAACCAATATCTGGCCATCTTGACCTCACCCTTGGTCAATAACCCATATGTAGTCGCTACTCACCTAAACTTCCAAGGCCTTGCTGCGGTAACAGAAAACATGTAAGAACTCTGCTGTTAGTCTGCTCGTCATCCTCCGTTTGAAGCTTCAGGACTGGCTGGGACTGCAAAATGAAAAACAAAGCAGTTACAATAAAATGTTTGATACCTGAAACACCAAAATACTGCATTTATCGACATGAAAGATGTTTGATAGAAGTCTAGTGAATCCTCCGTATATAACAAGTTTTATTTTTCTTAATTCATTACTTGAAGCAAATGCAGACAATTTCAGTTATAATTATTTTTGATATAAATCAATTCTTTAATGATACAGTTCAACCTCTATTGAACAGCCAACCTTGAGGAAATGGATAGTGGCCACTTAAAGGGGGCTGGCCACTCAATAGAGGTAAAAACAATAGAAAAGCCCTCATTGGAACTTTGATTATGGGTCTCCTAATAGGGGTAGCTGTTTGATAGGGTTTTGACTGTACAATGCCTTTAAGTTGTCACAGAGAAATACTCTCACAGAGTTTCCCCACACCCAGCCAGACAAACTAGGAAAATATTGTGAAGTAATGGTATAATATATTTACAACAGGACTGCACTTACATGCTGTCCACTTAAACAATAATTGGACAATAAACACCAAAATTACATGAGTCCAGTTTGGCCACCAGAAAAAAGGTTTGAAATCAAGCATTTCCAGTTTGGACAAAACTGCAGTCACATCATCTGTTAATAGTACTTAATTAATTTACACAAAAAAACTGACCCGAATACTTGGTGCTTTAAACAAGAGTTAAACTAAGGATCATTTGTGACAGTTCAAAACAAAACATATTTTCATGTGCACACAAGTAAGGGATTTTGGAATATAATAAATAAATAAATAATAAATAAATATTTATATAGCGCCTATCCATGCCTGCTCTAGGCGCTGTACAATTCGCCAAAATGATCTGTACTAATCTTAATAATTAAAAATGTGCATTTAAGAAACAAACAAGTGCCTTTAAAATATTCCACTGGGAAATTATGAACAACAGACAAGATAGCCTGTGTACATCTGCCCCCTACTCTCAAAAAAATCGCAGAGAAAGACATCTGTGTAGTGGAGGGAAGGGGCGGATGTCTACAGGCTACAAATGAGATTTACCTGATTTTCTGATAACCACAATGCTTTCAAAGGAAGTGATCCCACAGTCAAGGGCAGACATTCTAACCTGTGGTAAATGAAACACAATAATTATTAGCATGAGGCATTTTGTGTTTCCTCCAGTCATATATAGCCTAAGCTGGGTGGGACCCTGAAATGGAAAGGATGATTCAAACTAGGGGGAAGGGGGGAAGCAGAAAGAATCCCATTGACTTAATCTCACACATTATCAGAGGCATAAACTAACTTTCATCTTTGACAGATTAAGACAAACTTCACATCACATTTTTATTAGCTACAGTTTGTTTATTGACAAACAATATCCAATTTGGTTCTTTTGACTTACCTGTTTCCTGATACATCTAAAACATGAAGATTTCTACAATTGCCGATTTCTGACGGCAGACGCATTAGCCAGTTTTCTCTTAATGAAAAGACACTCAATCTTGTACAGCTTCCAATCTGTGAAATAAACAATGCAATCAATACACACATATCAGCGAAGGGTGCATCCTAAATATCTATTTAAATTTGCCTGAATGATTATAATAAACCAATATACTTCCAAAGATTCTAGAGGTACATGTGTAAAGGTAAAGTCTACATACAAGCCATGTCGCCCATCAGGTGGATATTTATCTCCGGTATCTGTAGCATGAATTGACTACGAAAACCTCTTTCTATTCCCCCCCTGGATGGGATGCTAGTCTAGCGTAGGGTTACCCTCAGCATTAAATTTGCCAGTACGCATTTATACACCTGGGTGGAGAGAGGCACTGTGAGAGTAAAGTGTCTAGCCCAAGAAGACAAAACAATAGACCCAACAGGGCTCAAACCCGGCCCACTCCATCTGGAGTCGAGAACACTAACCATGTGGCCACCACACCTCACAATAAGATACAGAATACAGGCTTAACGGAGATTCAAAAATAAGAATTCAAAATAACCAAAAACAGGTTCCCGCATGTAGACTGATATACACTTTGATAAAATATGAAGTGAAAAACTTGAATCAACCTACCTCAACTGGTAAAGACGTTAGTCGATTCCTATCTAAATTTAAATGTGTTAACTTGTGAAGTTTTCCTATTGTTGACGGAATTTCCTGTCAGACAAATAAAAAAAGTTGTTAAAAGGTACCTTTACATTCTCAGAGTCCAAATGATCTTAATTTAGTCAAGTATTATAAGCCAAAATATTACATTATTCATATTTATTCTAATAAATGTCTAAAGTAGAGAAGAATTGACACTGCTCAAGTCAAAACTTTATCCGCAGATTGACCTTACTTCAGTCTTCTCCAAGTAAAATCGTATTTTAATTATTAATCTTACTGAAATACTGTTTTATGTGGCATACCTCAAGAAGGTTTTCTGTCAATATTAATTCTTGCAAGCTAGAGAGTCTGGGATATGAATAGAGAATATAGCAGACATTTATTCAGGTCTCATACTCACTTTATCAGACACTCAAAATGGACTAAATAACCAACACACTAACACACACACTGGGGACTGACTACTGCCCCCCCCCCCCCTGCTTACTACCCACCAACCAAGAAAACCATTAACTAGATGTTGTTGCAAGCAATATTATGGATCACAATGACTGTCCTGTAAGCCAAGGAACAAGTGAAATCTCATCTCCCGCACATTTTAAATTGGCTTTCTTTCCAACCTTATAATATGCAATTCATAATAAAGAAATCATTCTTTCCCCTCCTTCCACTGTAAAAAAATATTACACTCACTATTTGCCAAACATTTCCCGCCCCTCCCATTAAACTAGCAAACCAATAAGCTACACACCCTCCTATCGCTGGTGTGAGACAAAGTAGCCGGTTCTGGTCGATTTTGACCAACTGAAGTTTCTTGAGTTTTCCTGCCAAAAAAAATATATTAACACCAGTTAATGTCACACAACATCAAGACGTAACAATTTCTTGCAATATTGCACAAATCGGGACAGCATAGAAAAAAGGAAAAAATTTACATGGCAAATTAAATATGAACTTGTTAAGAATACCAACTACTAAAAGGCTGAACAATTTACCTGTAAGCTTTTGACTTTTGCATTTACATGATTGTATGAAGAAGTTAACTAAAGATTACTGTGTTAAAACTGCTGCTAGCTGATAGATCATGAGCTAAAGTCTGGTCCAGCTACACAGCTTGCTCATTCTGGTGCAGTGCAACTCTGTTAATCAGATCACCAACGGGCCAGACGTTAACAGGGTGGCTGTATTAAAGGGGTTCTTTAAAGAAACTGACTGACTGAGCTTTAGTTTGGGCCAGAACAAAGCAGCCCTAATTACGAGGTACTAGCTGTATTAAAGGTGCTGGCTGTAAGGCAGGGTTCCACTGTATATATCTCTTATTAACTTTTACTGGTTTCCATACAATGAAGTGACTAGAAATATTGCTACTCCCGCCTGGATTTGGTGCAATTTCCCTTGTTCTACAAACAATTTGCTAGTAGGCATTTCAAGTCCAAAGTGGAGACAGGGATGCTGTGCTAGAATGTCTTACAAAAAAACACAACATGGTGACCCTGGTCAGGGATGGAATCCAAAACTGAACACAGTATGACAGAGATAGAACTAAGTAACATGATTTCAAATCCAACATCAAGGCTTTAACTGTCTGAACAACACATGATATTTTATCAATCAATCACTTACCCACGGTGTCAGGAAGCTCTTCAAGTAAATTTTGTGATAAGTGAAAGTCAGTAAGACCAACACATCCAGAAATTTCATCTGGTAAATATTCAATCTTGTTCTCCGATACGTCAAATATCTGGAGCTTCTTGAGGTTTCCTATTTCCTGATGGAGGCAAAGACAAAATTCTCATGATTAGCACAAAAATGCATGTAAATAGCTGCCAAAATCAACACAGGATCACGAATAAATTGAAGGGGTGTGTGGAAAAAAGCCCTAAGTGACTCTTAATCTCATGTCAAATTCCCCTTTTTTCACAGAAGGAAGCACAAAGCATTTTGCTAGGAGAATTTTGCAGTCTATCAGATGTTCCTTAGGGTCTTTTTCCACGTAACCCTTCAATTTATTAGCCAAACAGAAATATGAAGGTACTAACTAATGAAAGTTATCAAAAAACAGCATTGTCTTGAGTGTCGAAATTTGATGATTTAAATGCACTTCATGAGTGAGCCAAGAGTAGTCACTTCAGTACAAAAAAGAAGTCTGAAGGTCAAACCACAAGACGGTGGAAGCATGAGAAAAAGAGGAAGAGAATGACATGATTAATTAAAATCTACTCACTGGAGGTAATGTCTTCAACAGATTTCCATCTAACCACAACTCTGTCAGATTTGGCAGAGATCCAACAATATCAGGCTATTTAAAAAGAAAAACAATGAAATAATCTGTGATACCAAAACATAAAGAACTGTTTGGTTAGAGAAATAAGCTCTGCTCTGCTTTCCAAGGTCTGTATATTACAAAATTGTAGTAAGAGGGCTTAGTTCAACTACTGCAGGGGCAGATCAAGAGAAGAGCCCAGGGGTCCGGGAGTACCCCCCCCCCCCACCCCCGCCGGGTATTTAAGCAACTGTCCATTTGCTTTACAGCTGCAGTCGCCCACCATAATTATAATAATATAGTTATTATGTTCCTCGAAAAAAAGCNCCCCCCCCCCCCCCATCCCCGCCAGTAAGCCTGACAACAATGAGGCCCCAGGGGCAAACAAAACATTTAAGCCCCCACTCCAACCCAACCTCCTACTGGAGCAAGAGAGGACCCATCCTCCATTTCAAAACCTCTTGAGCCACTATTGTACTGTTGTCAAAATCAAATATCCAGATTTCAGAGCAATATATGGCACTCTTCTGGGACTTTGAGTGCAGCAGTAAGGAACTACTGTTGTAAGGCACTATCCAAAGGCTAATAAAATACAATGTACCTGCTCTTAAGTATATAAAAATTTCTTCATGTTCAAATGTAGTGCTCAAGGGATTGACTGGAATTGACTTACAAGTTCTTCAAGTTCATTGCATCCAAAATCCAGTCTTTCAAGCTTCGTAAGGAATTCCATGGAACTGAAAGTCAGAAGAGAAGAAGATGAACAACACATAATACTTAAGAACAAATAATTTTTTTCTCAAAGAATTAGATTGGGCAAGAGTACAAACAAATGGTGTGGAAAATTAAGTGACTGTAAACTTAAACAACCAAGATTCACTTGAATAACACACTAATTAAAGCTGAGTCTTAGGGGGATTTATTGCTTAACATTCAGTATGAGTGCAGTCTGTTATCAATCAAAAAACCTTGATGGTTAAAGTGCTGCAAAACTTACACTGGTAGGTACTTGATCAGATTCTCTCTGGCTTCCAGTACTGTGAGTTCTGTTAAACTAACCACAAATGAACATTTAAATATTATGCACAATACATCTACAAGAAAGTTATGAATTTTATGCCTAGAATTTGTTTCATGATCAAAATTACTTCTAAATCAGTGCAGGGTTGTCATTGAGGCTGTAACCCACATCACCTGTTACGGCTGAGTATGCTTGATAGGCCCTTGTTGTTAAGAATGAACTTGGCTATAGTTGAAACAGCAGACCTAATCATGGTTTTCAACACCATCTTGACAGGTAGGCAATGCACCTCAGAAATTACAGCGTTTGTATTGGAATACCATGGCAATTAACTTTTTCAAAAATTGAATTTTACACAATTTGTGAATCGCAACATTACAATACTAGGTAGAAGATTGTATTCACCAAGTTTGAAGGATGTAACTTGGCTAGAAGACACTCAATTAATTTTTCTAATTTGGCTGGGTAGACAGGGTTCGTGGGAAAAAACTAGAGCAAATGTATGGGCAACTAAAAATTAGCGGAGTGTCTTCTAGCCCAGCTACATCCTTCATATTTGGTGAAAACAATCTCTTACCTACATGTAGTATGGCAAAGTTGCGTTTCATAAGTTGTGCAAAATTCAATACTTGTATTTAAAAAAGTTATTTGTTATCGGATTCCCTTACAAACACTGTTTGACCACTTTGCCTGCTCGCCAAGATGACGTTGAAAACCGTGATTAGGCCTCCTCACCCACAAAGTAACAAATTTGTTTCAGATGTGAAGATCAAAGCTACAGGTGAATTAAAACTTAATGACATCCCTGCACCTTATCATTGTTCAGTCTTCCTGGTGTTGATAAATGTGATCAAATATTCAAAAATTTAAATGCTTACCTTCCGATGTCTGGAGGCAACCTGATCAGAGACACATCATTAAGACTAAGAGATGTAAGATTCTTGAGCTGTGCAAAGCCATCTGGGAGTCTGTGCAAACAATTGGCGACATTGAAAAATCATTTCATTAGCCACCATCATTACCTTTATTCAAAACATGAGGGATCGACCATACTTTTCAAGAAGGTTTTACGTTCAAGGTTGGTGGATTTAGTCCTGCATAACTGCTTAGAATTGTTGAACTAACATGTTACATAAAGAGAGCAGTTTTCATTCAAGTGTGAAAAAATAATTGGGATTATTTATACCTTGCATGGTAAATAGTCTAAGTAGTAGATGAAAATATTGTACTTTATTGTATTGTAAGTAGAGTAAGTATTGTGTCGTATTGTAAGTAGAGTAAGTAATTAATGTGTTTTGCAATAAAAAAGGAAAAAAAGTTAATTGGTTATCCAGTAATGTTAAGTTAACCATGGTTTCTTTATCAACATGAAATTAAGAAAAATAATTTAAAATGCATGTTTCTATAGTAACAATTTGCTTAAAATCTTCTAATTGAGTGCACAGAAAGTAAACAGTTCCACTGACAGAAAAAAGAACACTTAGGTCTGTACTGACTATTTCTACAAATATTTTCAGGATTTTGAAAACTCTTGCATGAACTAGGATCCAGTGACATGAACTAATAACATCAATGTAGTTTTTAACCTCACAAATCACCTTTGCTCCACTGATGTGTTGCATCAATGAAACAAGGAGTAGTTGTGCACATACTAAGTTTTCAAAGTTTCGTGTTTAATTTTTTTTTTTGTT